TATTATTGTATGGTATTTTTGTGTAAATAAAACTTTATAAGCGAACGCACCAAAAAGATATCAGTTAAAGGGAAACTTACATATGTTTCTAAAATACATACGTATATGGAATGTAGTATACTACATACTTGTATATACATATATATAATAAATATATAAGTAAGTACATAAGATAAGCCATTTATCTATGGTATGTACATATTGCGTTTTTTATGTGACTGATAATCACCTTAAATCAAAAAAATATTTGGCATATTTCCATAAATGTATTCACAAGTACATAAGCATTTACATATAGTAAAGAATTAAGGTGGTCAAACTGCTCTAAACTGTTATAAGGGTTAAAGGGAGTATAAGTACATAAAAATTACACAAATAATATGGTAACACCATTCTTAAATAATTTGTTTTTTTTATTTTACTTTTTACACCTTGAACAGGGTAGTTTACGTTTGCCACGACGTATGTAACATTCCGAAGAAAATGACGGAGACCCTATAAAATATTTGTATGTATATATGGCTTAATTGATTAGCGTGACAAGCAGAGTCGATTTATTGTAGCTATGTCCGTATGTCTGTCGTCTGCATATATAAGAATAAGATTCTCAGTTTTTGAGATATCGATCAGAAATTTTGCACACGTCCTTTTCTTCCCAAGAAGCTGCTCATTTGTCGGAACCGCTGATATCGATACACTATCGTATATAGCTGCCTGTTCGATCAAAATCAAGTTCTTTTACGGAAAACTTTTTTAATTGACAGTAAACTTCGCGGACAAAATTTAGGTTCAGCACAGTGAATGTGCTTTAAATATCCGAATAAATGCCATTTTCATCCAACCATCACGCAATACAAGTATTCTGTTATTTACATGCATCTTGAAATACTCATTTGTATCATTGTATTTATTAACCTTTTGACTTAAGTAGCACTTTGGTTTAATAAAAATTTTACAAATTATGGTTTTTGCTTGTTTTTGTGATAGAAACACGAGCTTCACCGCTTTTCACGACGAAATTAGATGCTTGTTATAAAATTACAACGTGAGCCCATTGCGAATACAAATTAAATACCCGACTAGCTTTTAGACCGCGATACTATTGATCGTCTGCGGCAGACGGCAATTTAATGTTCCCACAGCACAGCGCTATCGTTGTCACTGTTTCGTATGTTTTGCGGTTTTTTAATATTTTTAAAAGCTCAATTAAAACATTCACCTCTCCGTGAAGTTTTTTATAGGCCCGTTTTGTGTGAATGTGTTTGCACAGTAGGGTGCACCAAATTTTTTAAAGCGTGAAATTTTCCTATAAAAGATTTTAGGTTGTTTGGAATTTATGATATGTGATATGTCAATATGAGAAAAAAATTAAGATATAATAAATTAAAACTTCTATATATAAATATAATTAAGATTACAAAAAAAATTCCGGTACACACACGTACAGAAAGAAACGTCGGAGATCCTATAAAATGTATATCCAAATGATCGGCATGACGAGCAAAGGTCGATTCAGTTATGTCCGTCTGTATGTGCATGATACACGCAAACTAGTCCCTCAGTTTTTGAGATATTAATTTGAAATTTAGCACATGTCTGTTCATTTGCCGGAACCGCCGATATCGGACAACTCTAGCATATAGCTGGCATACAAACTGAACGATCAGAATCAAGCGCTTGTAAGAAATCTTTTGTATTTGTGAAGGGTTTTATAGCTTCGTTGTAACCGAGGTTAATTTTTATTTCTGCCTTTTTTTCGAATTTAACTTCATTTCAAAAATTTAATATAATAATTTTTATAAAGAGAGAGAGAGAGATTCGTTAGCATACTATTTCAAAAATTCACGTTACTATTTTTCATTTAAATATTTTTAAATTAAAATCGCGAAACACATTTTAACCACCCTTCGAGTGCTGGCCTATGTAGATAAGGTTCACGTGTTCCCTGCGTTTGCTCAAAAGCACAATTACAAGTAGTTGTAGTTTTCGCAGTTTAAAAATATTATGTGGTCCAATTAATTCTTTATTGCTCAATTTACCTTTTCAGATCTTATTTTAAATGTCCCAAAAAAGCTTTCTGAACACCAATTGTTTAAATGACAATTGTTGCAATTTTGCTTATCAGTTTGTTGTGTTGTTATTATCTCTCATTGCCGATAAGATTTTGAGACCTGATAGCTGTAAGGAGCTTTACACACACTCTCATACCTTAAATGGTCTTTTCTATTATTAGGGTGGCCCAAACTCAATACAGACGGCTGTGATCGATAATTCTCTAATTCGAAGTAAAATTATGTGAATTAAATTTCACTTTAATAGCAGAAACATTTTAAGAGAGGCAATACTAAATATTTTAGGAATTTTGACCGATTTTGTGCATGCAAATTTGAAAAATAAAAGTAATATACTATGAACATATGTATACGTATATACGGTACATATCTTTATTATTATATTTTATTCAAGTGTCTGAGTTTGTGAAGGGTGATATTTACATGTGCGAGCAATTGTTATTATTTAATTTCAGCTGTGTTTGACCTACAAATATTGTAATTTTTGCCCTAGTTCGTTTTCAACATTCCAATTTAAATGGAAAAATATATAATAAACGAAATGAAGCGTGAAACATATGTATCTACATACATACCTATATACGTACGTCGTTAAAATAACTGGTATTAAAATAACTAGTGCTGGCATGTATTATTACACATACAAGTTATGTTTTTTTGTTGTTTTTGAACAAAAAAGGTTTTCCATACCTTTATTGTCTTAAGCAACTTTTTATACACAAAACAGAGTATATCATGTTGCCACGATTTAGCTATTTCCGTCTGTCTGCCTGAATATACGCGAATTAGTCCCTCAGTTTTTGAGATATCGCTATGAAATTTTGCACACATCTTTTACTCCCCAAGAAACCGCTTATTTGTCGGAACCGCCGATATCGGACCACTATTGCATATAGTTGTCATACAAACTAATCGAACTAAATCAAGTTATTGAGTGGAGAACCTTTTTTTTAATAAGATTTCCTCACAAAATTTTGCACAGATTATTATACAGAGCAGTACTACAATTTCCGAACATATTGTTCAGATCGGACCGCTATAGTGTATACCAGCTATACAAACTGAACAATCAAAATCAAGTTCTTATATGGAAAACTCTTTAGTTTGACAAGATATCTTCATGGCATAAATAATTGTCCGGGGCAACGATACCATCTCCAAGGAAATTTTTCAGATCGAAGCAATATAACATATAGCTGCCATACAAACTGACCAATCAACATCAAGTTCTAGTAACTTATTACTTGTGAAAAGTACAATATTATAGCTTCGGTGTAAACGAAGTTTTTTTGTTGTATTTTTTTTTTTTAAGTTTTTGAAAAAATATATTTTTTCATATGCACATGTTTGTATGTATTGTCTTTAGTAACTTTACATTTCACTTTAGCATTAGTTATTCGTTCACATAGTATTCGTTTTACTTTTAAGCTTCTTTTCATCTGAATTTATATTAACTATGACAAAATACTCCCCGAATAATGAAGATATTCTGTAACATATAATTATTTTTTAATTAAAACTCATTTTTCTTTTTATTTAGAAATCAGTTACTCATAAATGGTTTCATAGTAACAGAAGGTTTATCTTTTGGTTGAAGTAAAAAGTAACTGCTAGCTACCATAAGTGTTAATATTGACATTTTTCAATATTTCTGCTATTTTTAAATAGCTTAGGCATGTGTTTGGCTTCTGCAAATGCAATAACAAATCTTACATGGTAAGTCTGTATGTATATATATGGTTACGTATATATTGATATTAATAATACCATCGCAGCGCTTACCTGTCAATGTACCATATAATAAGCGAAGGCTGCAAATTTTACTTTATACCTTTATGTTTTTTAAACCACAATGCAGTCTGTCAACGGACAATTTGCATCGTCAGCAATCAATATACGATCAAGCACATGTGCCACATATACAAATGGATCAACATTTGCATTCGCAAAAGTCTTTTTTCTCGCAAAATTTATACAATTTTCATTTTTAAATTTAGCAATTTTGTCAATTTGTATTTTCCAATCACTAATGTTTTTTATAGAAGCCAAATTTTCGAATTTTTAAATCAAAGTTTAAGTTATTAGTTCAATATTCACTCTTTCACTACGAGAGCAACAGCGCTCATCCGGCAACAAAGTGCAACTGAAACTTTTCAAACTTATTAAAACACAACAGCTTACTAAATGGCTCAAGTCGGTATGTAGCAATGTGACTTGCAGTCTACGATTGTTGATTGTACAGAAAAACCTAAAAAAAAACTGTAACAAAATCGTGGAAAACAGAACTGTTGTAAGTCATGGCAAAATACAATAACAAAGTAAAATTAACCATAATTAAAAACTGAAAATGCCAAGAAAACACAACTGAAAATTCACGCACGCACACAAACACACTACTATATGTATACATTAGTACCTTAAGTTTAAAATAGGTATAATAGCAGAAAAAGTCAAAAGTTTGTGAGTACATGGTGTGCAGTAACGCTCAAAAAAAGCCTCCAAGCGTTGGGCAAACATGATACATACAAGTGTACTATGTATGTGAATCAAAGAAAGCAAAGACGATAAAAGATATTCAAACAAACTTGCAACTTGATAATTATACTTATGGTACTTGTATTTATACTAACTACCTAGTATTAAAGTGCCCTCTTTTCAACCAATCTGCCTCTTGAATGTCTATCTGTGTAACTGGTATAGTTTGACTGTCTGATTTTGAATCAGGCGTTGCGGTTTGTGATCCAATAAGTGAATGCGCCACAATTCAAATGAGCTGCACTCGACTACCCTCTTCATACATACCTATACATACTATGCACATATATACATATGTTAGATATTTAAAATTTGTTTGTTAAGTCACAAAGTAACTCATATCTAATAGCCATTATAAATCGGATATAGATAGAATCGCACAGCCTACCAACAGCTTTTTAAATATATAAAAAATTATATTTACTCATATAAATAACTAATAAAAAATTTCCTTTTACATTCTCTGAATTTTTTGTTAATTTAAATGTATTTTTATTTTTCTATTCTTTTATTTATATTATTTTTGTTAATGAGTTGCCACCAAATTTCTAAGGCGAGTTCGTGGTATACATAGCCATGTGTTTTCTTGCGGAACGATATTAAAACGTTCATTCATATATATACATGCATTATTTCATTTATATATTAATATAACTACATATTTGTAATACAAAAATATATATAACATAAAATTAGAAATAGTGCAATTGAAAGATATCGGCATATTACCTAAAAATACAAATAATTTTAAAATAATATATAAAATTAGTTGTTTCGTTACAACGGTGTTTCCTTTTAAAATGTATTTATTTTAAATACATGCCAGTGCCAATTTTCAATATCTACTCATTTGAACGCGCCCGGTGAAGGATAAGCAACAATTACGATGAACATACCACATCGCTGTGACGGTGCACATTTGCAGCTGTCAAAGTTCTGGTGTGACATTTGTAAATTTTGCTGTGTTGTGTTCGTACATTTTTCTTGCAAAATATAGCCGGAATATTTAACTCATTCAACAACACGTATTTCTATATATTTCATTTATAAGGTAAATTAATAGATCAAGAATTTAAGCAAACAAAATTTCAACATCTTTATATTATTAGCAGCATGGATCGTTTATTACGTTTGGGTGGTGCAATGCCGCAAGCTCCACCACCAACAGATGCGCCTGTTGTGGATACCGCCGAACAAGTATATATATCCTCGTTGGCGTTATTAAAAATGCTAAAACATGGTCGTGCTGGCGTACCCATGGAAGTGATGGGTTTGATGTTGGGCGAATTTGTCGATGACTACACAGTACAAGTAATCGATGTTTTTGCTATGCCACAAACAGGTACTGGCGTCTCAGTTGAAGCTGTTGATCCAGTGTTTCAAGCGAAAATGTTGGATATGTTAAAACAGACTGGTCGCCCAGAAATGGTGGTTGGCTGGTACCATTCACATCCTGGTTTTGGCTGTTGGTTATCCGGTGTTGATATTAACACACAACAGTCTTTTGAAGCTTTATCAGAGCGCGCTGTTGCCGTTGTCGTCGATCCCATACAATCGGTGAAGGGTAAAGTAGTTATTGATGCCTTCCGTCTCATCAACCCGAATATGCTTGTGCTCGGCCAAGAGCCGCGTCAGACAACTTCAAATTTGGGACATCTACAAAAACCTTCGGTTCAGGCATTAATTCATGGTCTGAATCGGCATTACTACTCAATTAGTATTAATTATCGTAAAAATGAGTTGGAACAAAAGATGCTGTTGAATTTGCACAAGAAATCTTGGAAGGATGGACTCACATTGGCTGATTACAATGAACATTGTTCCATCAATGAAAGTACCGTGCAGGAAATGCTCGAATTAGCCAAAAACTATAATAAGGTAATTAATCAATTGAACACTCGTAAATTCTCGTAATATTTTAATATATATTATTTTTAATTTGTTTGCAACTTTCAGTCGCTCGAAGACGAAGAAAAAATGACACCAGAGCAATTGGCAATCAAAAATGTTGGTAAACAAGATCCTAAACGGCATTTAGAAGAGAAAGTCGACAAAGTTATGCAAAACAATATTGTGCAATGCCTTGGCGCAATGCTTGATTCAATTGTATTTAAGTGAGCTAATATTTTCATGTTGCATTTGATTTGAATTTTCAAAACCGCATATACAAAACACTCAAACTGAGCAACACACTTCAGTTTACCACGCACTAATGTATTTTTAAAAATAACATCGTAAATGAAATAAAATATAGAAATAAAAATACTTTTGTACTTTACTACATAAACATATCATTTAAACACTCTAGGTTCAGTTAAAAGGTAATGTTTTGGTAGTGGCAGAAATAATCCTGTAGTAATTTGGAGTAATGCTGCCGAGTTGACAGTCCTTGACCGGATAAAAATTCGGATACGTTTGGTTTACGTAGAACCGACTGTCGTGGGAACGGGTTAAAAAAAAAGTAGTAAGTATCATCAGTATACCTAACTGTTCTTTTATTTATAGTGTGAACTATCCTAATTTATAGGTAGTGGCCATTTCTGACATGCATATAATTTTTGCAATACACCCGATTTCTAAATTAGTGTCAATATGTGTATCATAAGAAAAATAAGCTGCGCCAAATACCTGGCAATTGCGATCGCCCACTTACATCAACACAATTTTTTGTGTTCCCATTTATTTTTTGCACTGAAATTATCAAATTTAATGTTTACTTTTCAAATGAACATCTATTAGTTTCCGGCGGTTTAACATTTCGCATGCTTGAATTAGAAACTTGGCAGCACTGAGCGACAAATGAATGCAACACGTACACCCTCAACATTTTCAAATTTGAAAAGTGAATATAGAAAAGTTCTGTTTACGAGTTTCGATAGACTTTCTTAATTTCATATCATAAATTGAAAAATAATGCAAATTGCGTATAATTTGTTTTAATAACAGGTTTATTATTGATTTCTCATACAATGATTTGAACTATTGATTGCAATTCAAATATGTATTTTATGTTTCCTTCAACCGAAGTTGGTGAATTTCCTTAAAATATGCCCCATACCAGCAGGATTATCAGCAGGCACCATATGTCCAGCGCGATCGATCCATAACATAGTGAAATTGCCAGCGCTCTTCTCATAGCCCTCCAAAATGCGACCAACATTTATGCCAACGCGTGGTGCCGCCTCGTACGAAGACTTATTATTCCATTGCATTTTCTCAATCCAGTTAACTGTGCCGAGAGTGGCACAAATCAAGTCCAATTGCCCGGAGTACACACCTACCTGCAGTGTTGTTTTGTTGAGAAGTTCCTCGACTAAGCGTATAAAAAAAGATATATTTTTAATGGAATCTCTTTTTTCAAATAAGGTTAATATATTTTTACCGATATGTATAACTGGCTTCATGAAATCACCACCCAATCTGCTGAAAGTGATACTGCTTTGGGAACCCCATCTTACCCTAGATGATATATTTAGAGCTTTGTGTACTGGGCCGCGCATTAAATCTTCTAAGATTTGATCGCGATCCTCATCTATATCAATATCATACTGTACCATAGTGCGGTACATTAAATCTATAAAAATATATGTTCATGTTATAGACAGATTAATATATAAATAAAGAGTGCGTAAAGTAGATATGTACACAAGATGTTGTTACCTACCCATAATATTGTTACTTCTCAGTAATACGTTGGCATAGGCATTGCCTCTGGTTGGTTTCTCAATATTATAAAAGTCCACACCCTTTGACTCACGCAATAAAACACTTTGTGTAGAACCCCATTGGTTGGTGGCTTGCGTCCATTTTCCTTGCTTGATCAAATTTTCCGTTCTATTGGCAGCAGCGGAAATTTTGTCATAACCATCTTGATCCACAACGCCCTGGTAAAATAATTTATACAAATATAATAAGAACTTAAAAACACAGGTATCTACATATATCACAGCATATACTTACCATATTCAGCAACAATGGCGCCCAAGCCAAAACGGAATCAATCGGTGACGTCCATGGATCACCCAATGCTACCGTGGTCAAATTGCTGCGCAACTCACCACGTTGAATTGCATAATACAGTTCCAAAGCGAATTCTGGTGCCATTTTACCACCATAACTCTCACAGAATATATGCAAAGGAACAGTTTCGAATTCGGGATGTTGTTTGTAGAAACCTTTCATCAAACTGACCAAATCCAAAGCAATCTCTTTATTATTTTTCGTTAAGTAACGTATGCGATCAACATAACTGTAACCACTACCAACGGGATTGTCTATGAAAAGCACATTCATATCCTTAACCCATGTGTGATTACGATAATTGCCATACAAATCGAGTGGACCCAACTCTTCGAAATTTCCATAACCAGTCGACGAAGCACCGGGACCACCTTGCAACCAAATTGCCAATGGACGTTCAGTGTATTTGCTCACATTAGCCGTGGTGTAGTATAGCCAGTAAAACATATGGGCGCCAGTGCGCACATCGACAAAACCCCAATCCTGTTGACCAGGACCATAGCCGGTTTTGGCTAAATGACAAAAGTATGGTGAAAGTGTATAAATAGAGGGAAATGTGCGATTACATGAAGCGACAGACAAGTGCTTATATATACATATGTATTAAATGATTCCTAAAAAGGCATAAGCTGGTATTCTTAAACTGCAAGTTCGAATTGCAAAGCTCGTCAGATCGAGAGGTTACCATATATAACTTTAAAAGTCGAGAGAAAATCCACAATTTATTATAGTTTGTCAAATATGACAACTTCAATAAGTTTAAATATTCAATAATGTCCATGACTTTGAATAAGAACATTTATTGCAGTTCTAATAGACCGAGTAGAATTAATTTTAATAAATAAAAATTGTCAGTAAGTTTTTAGATAAGTTCTATTAATTTTTAAGACAGCTAATACTACTGAAGACTTGTCGTAAATATATCAGTTACATTTTCAGTAAATTTAGCTTTTATCAAGTCAAAAGAGATTTTAAGTATTTATATTTGTATATTCAATGATACGCGCAGAAAAGTTGATCAAAATTGGTACATATGTATATTTTAGTAATCAGGAGCACTTTAAATTTGGGTATTAGTCTGTCAATTTATAAATAATATTTATCCTGCACTAAATTATAGTGAATCAGTTTGAGGTGTTGACGTCACTGTAGTTGTCATTTAAAAATTGATTTATTATACCTATTTTAATTTTAACAGACTTAAAATTATTGTTACGATTGAAAATTACGTCAGAAACGTGATAAAATGATGATTAACTCAAATTTGATTAATTTTTTCAACTTTACTATACTTAAGGCATATGGATATCAAATATTTGGCTTTTTATTATATAATTTTGCCAATATGTTTTACTTCTTTTACACATTTAGCACTTTGAAAAACATTCTGGTTGGTTTCTCAATACTCTTTGTTATAAAGAGAATATAAAGAGAAACTAAGTATTTTTTTGTGAATATATCAAAATAAGATATAAATGTTGCAAGAAAACATAAAAATGTAATTATATTATTTAAAAAATAAATTACTCCAATATTTTATACTTAAAAAAAAATCGCAAATTCTATAAACGAAATTAATATAAATATTGTAAATATATATAAGTATTGTACATATGTGTGCGTGTATTTAAAATTATTTTGAAGCAAATTAAAAAATGCATTTATTTGATTAAATTTTTAAATGCCTGCTTGTAATTCAATGAAATTTAACTGAAATATTTTATAAGTATAACCTTTGTATACAATACAAATTGACATGAAGTCTATTGATTTAATTAATATATATTTTTTTTTAATTATTTACTTACCTGTTGTGGTTGTAGCACAAATTACCAGTAGAAATGCTGTGCATATTAATTCGACCCGCATTTTAAAACAATAAAATTGAACACCAAAAAAAGTAAAACCGTATATAAAACAAAAGCGAAAATGGGGCAAACTCAACGACAGTATGTTTTATCTATGAAGTTACTATTTTTTATGGACTTCTTTACTCAGCTCGAAGTCACGTTGACTTACAGCGACGAGAAAGTGTTCGAATTACCTTCTGCGCCGATTGCGGTGTTGATCAAGTCTTTTATTGGCAAATATACTAGGTAGCTTCTAATCAGCCACAACAACACGCATAACTTAATAGAGAAGAGTATAAATTAATATAGGGATATTTCAGAATATGTTACTAATTGTATACAATTGTAGAGTTTATCAAATAGCAAATAAAATATCAAGTACCAACTAACTATGTATGTATATGTATGAATGCGTACATATTTTTGTAATTTATTTTTTGTTTTATTGTTGAAAGTGTGTATGCTTAAGCCATTTAGTATGGATAAAATTGTACTCTATTATTTTGAGGAATAGAAATACTTTTACATTTCTTTAAGTTTTTATCAATAAGTATCGAAATGTGGTATATTTATTGATATTATAAAAATACTTTAAGTTTTCACTATCAATTACACAGGTTTATAAATAATTAACAACAATAAGTAAACGAACGAATTTATAGTAAAGTTTGCATCGCCTTGGAATTATTTATAAATAAAATTTTTTGTTATAAATAATTAGTTCTCAATCAAAACAATCAAATAACAAACTCCGAAAACCGTGGAAAACGTTTTCTATTATATCGTTTATAAGATAGCGTTAATAACGGTTCTTGAGCGAAAATACAATACACTATTTTGCGAAACCGCAAACTGACTTACAGAAATGGTGTGTAAAATTAATTAACTTCAAAGTAAAAATATTTTTAAAAATAGTTAATGTTTATGAATTTTTATTAAATCATGGAAATTAATTCATTTAATAAAAATAGCACACGTTAATTTTCTATACATCAACATATAACTATCAAAATAATATTAAGTCAACAAACTATGAAAATTAGCCTAAATAATTATTAATTAAAAAATTTTAAGTATAAGCCAAAACTGATAGATTAAAATATACTCGTATTCGAGTATGTGCTCAATCGATGCTTGTTGGGTACAGTATTTCATATGCAACTGTTCTCATTGATATGAAAATGCAATTGTGAATAGGTTTCTCGTAATGAAAAAGCATCATAGTTTCGTAAACAAGTGGTAGCTTTATGCGGCTAATTGGTAAAAGAAAAACTAATAAATTTTCACAGGTGCAGTCACAAAACTACAACTAACCGAAACTATTATTGTCTGGCTTCAAAGTGCAGCTATAGATAAGAGTTTTTGATACCATGGCTACGGTACGCATACCTAAACAAAAGGTTATACTTTGCGGCGATTATGGTGTGGGAAAAAGTTCATTATTTCGTCGCTTCACCAACAACACATTTGGTTTGTAGGCATAATTGTATAATACGATGGAAAGAAAAATAAATACTTATAATTATCTTTGGCACACAAACACAATGATTTTCCCCACTTATAACAACAGTAACAGACACAGATCGCAAATCAACATTGGGCTTGGATCATATAGACCGTGACTATACTGTTGGTGATAAACAAATCAAGGTAAGCCACTTATTATTTATAAAAACTTAAAATATACATTTATATATATTTTTGTATGAAAACAAGCTACAATTATGGGATACAGGCGGTATGGAACGTGTTGCGTCTGTAACATCTTCTTATTACAAATTTGCTGAGGGTGCCATACTCGTATTCGCCATGGATAATGCCGCGTCATTTCATTCCTTGTCGCAACATTTACTAGACATTGTAACTTATGCTGAAAATGCAAAAATATTCATTTGTGGCAATAAAAGTGATTTGGCTGAACGTGAACCACAAGTGAGCGATGCTGAAGTCGAAGCATTTTGTGAACAGTGCCACAGTTTAATTAGTGCTACTTATAAGACATCCTGCAAAACATCGGATGGTGTTGAGGAAATGTTTAGTGATATATCTCGTATTCTTGTAGATGCTAATCGCTCTAAAATGGAACTGCAAGCATTGGAACAGCATAGCTTCAAAATTGACTCAGCTGCCGAAGCTGATACGAATGAGGAAAGTTCACAATGCATTTGCTAGCAAATGGGGAATGTGGAGTTCGGTTAAAGAGAAGTAGGGACGAACTTCATATACGGAAAAGAAAATGGTGTTAGAAGTATTCTACGCTTCTATATATTTATTTATTTATTTATTATTTGATGTTAAAACGTATTTATGTAAATTATATAAAATCAGCTTGTATGTATTTACGAATATTTCTATTTTTACAGTTTATAATAACTTGTATTTTGTGTCACCAAAAACTCACAAACAACAACAACTTGTAATGTCACAAAACGAAACGTAAATTGCATTTATTGCTAACTAAAATTTTGGTTGTAATCCGTCCAACATTCTTGAAGCTTTCATGATTTTGGACAAAACTTTTAACACCTGAAAAGTTTGACGGAGAAGGATCAGAACCCACGTCAAAAGAAAAACATTCAAACGCTTGTCGAATTAAACTGTCTAAGGGCAAGAATACTGTTTTTATACAAAAGTAAAATTTATATCGATAAAATTAGCAGCTTACGGAAAAATACATAGAATGGGTTCTTTTATGAATCTCATTTATCTCAAATACTCATAACAATAGAAACTAAATGTAGTCACAGCTTAGTTTGGAATTCAATAAAAAAAAAATATATATATAATAAAAATGTCTAATTACATTGGGTTATTTAATTTATTAACGTCATTGTTTTTATTTTAATTTAAAGTTTTACTATTTTCTGTTTGAAAAGTATACTTTTTGCACTTCAACAAGATATAAATTATCATAAACCAAGAGGAATGTATAACAACGAATTTGATTGCATAAATAAATACATATATTGTCTAGAGTAATACAATTAAATTATTCCTTAATAAATTTACTAAGCTGTAGGAGCACTTGATGAAAATGTCAAGTAGAGACTTACACCTACCGCGACCACAAAACATACTCCAACTACATATAATACAGCCTTTTCTCGCAATGCACGTAACATCATGGAATTTAGTGTTCTTGAAGCTCTTCCCAAATCTGCATTAGTTTCCCTCAAACGTGAACGTGCACCTTGCAAAACTTCACGCTGATGACTTAAATCATTAAGCACATGCGCTCCCAAAGCTTCTGTCTCAAGCGCTACGCGATATCCGTCAGCTAAACGATTTCCCGTACGTTCTATACGTTCCGAATTTTCTAATAGACGTTGTCGCTGATCATTACCTATAGATATATCATCATAATAGTCGCCGTCTCCTCCGCCCAGCTCTAAAACCGTCATATGTTGTTTCTGCTGGGCATCTTTAGCACTACGATAATCACTTTGAAGCCTTTTCAATTCTACCTGTGCACAACTGACTTTATTTTGGAAACTTGGGCGTAATGTTACGTCTATGTCGCGAATTTCTAAAGTCATTTGTTCTAAAAGTTCATGTGCTTCAGCGAGACTACCATCTATTTTAGAGCTAAGATCTCGTCTTTCCACTGCAAGGAATATGCAATCGTATTTACTCTTTCAAGATTTATCAACACAATTCTTACCCCCTTTCAACTGCTTTAGTTGGGCTATTTCAGATGTGATTTCCGCTATTAACACAGCATATTGTTGCTCATATTGCTCAAGTAAAATCATTTTGAAAATCTATTTTGATCTTACAATATGTTCCCAAATTTATTATTCCAAAATATTGAGCTCAAATATGTATATTGAAAGAAAATTTTAACAATGAAAAACAGCTGATCGAATGCTTGTCAATTCGCAATAGCAAGAAACAAATTGAAATTATTGTGAATAGTATTCAAACGTCAAAAGATTATGCTCAATTTTCGTTCTTTCATTCGCTACACGTGTTTACAAATTTTTGCAGTCCGTATTTTTTGTATTCATCAGCAAATCATTTTTTAATACATTAAAATGTCGGACAAGTAAGTAAAAAAAATCTTTTGTGCCATGGAAAATGTAATGATTTGCTACTTTCATCAAATTGAAGATACGCGGTGCCCAATAAGTTGCCTGGCAAAACTGTGTCAGTGCTGGCGCATCGTAAACGCCGCATTCTTCAAGATAAAGCAACACTAGAACAGAAGAAAGCTTTGAAAACTAAGAGGGTTGCAGGAGCGAAAAAACATCACAAATTCCGACGTCCAGAATCATTTGTTATGAATTATCTTAAGGCAGAACGTACGGCAAAACGTATCAAGCAAACTATACGCCGCACCAACATAGTGGACTTCAAAGAACCTCAGAAGACAAATGAAAAACTGCTTTTGGTTATGAGGCACGCAGGGTAAATAAAAAGTTAATCAGCATGATGTATAGTTACATTAACATATTTCTGTTAATAGCAAAAAGGTTTTCGATGAAACAACAAATAAAATTTTAAATACATTGCACCTGTCAACTCGTCACAATGCTGTTTTTCTGCGCAACGATAAGGAAACCAAAGTGTTGCTCAAAGTTATAGAGCCGTTTGTAGTCTATGGATATCCAGCACTGAGCACAATACGTGAATTGCTATTTAAGAGAGGTTTTGCGCGTGTCGATGCAAGAAAAACGCCCATACAATCTAACGCTATGGTAGAAGAACATCTTGGAGAAAAGGGAATAATTTGTTTGGAAGATATAATACATGAAATTTATACAGTAGGTCCAAACTTCGATACTGTGAAAGAGTTCCTGTGCAGTTTTATGGTAAGTTATGACAAGCTATATTTCTATTTACGAAACAAATAATAATAATAATTTATAACAGCTTTCCAGTCCCAGAGATGGATGGAAAAAGAAAGTCTCCGTGCCTTACAAAAGAGGAGGCGAGTATGGTGATCGAGGTAATGCGATAAATGACCTAATAATGCGTTGTCTGTAAACGGTTTACTATAGTTAAGTAGTTGCATAAAAATTTTTTATTTTACTTTTGAAAAATAAAATTGTAGCATAAGTTGAGTAAATATCAATAAATGGTGTATTTATTATTCTAAAGTGTAAATCTTACTGTACTCATCAAAAATTACTCAAGTAGAAAATTGAGTGGTAATAGAAATTTATTTCATAAAAATATTTTCTTTAAACGATATTTCATTCTGTGGCGTAGACAATATTTTATCGGAACACAAATAAAATAAACGAAAAAAATTAGGAGATAATTATATTTTCATAATGTCTAGCAAAAATGACACTCTTGTCGACGAAGATGTCGACTATCAAACAGTTTCAACTGGTCATTCCATTAGTATTGAACGTCCAGAGCGTCTACATGAATGGCTTAAAGCGGAAGATATTGAATATATAAGGCACAAATTCATCTCTCATCCATTACAAAAGCTCAACCTAAAAGAATTGCGAGAAGTTTTTGACAATCTCAGTATAAAATTCACCGACATTGAATATAACCGTCTCTTCCTTAAAATCAATCAGAATCGTGACTTTCTGTGCGATTGGAATGAACTCATTTCATATTTGATATTTGGCTTTCAAGAAGACGACCCCAGCACCCAGAAAGAAGCGCTCATATTACCAATATCGACAGCACCAATAGTTAAAAAGTCCGAGCATCGTTCACCAATTTGTTCCATAAGTTTATTGCGCGTGCAAGCCGATGATGTCGATGAGGAAGATATTGGCAAGCAATTAAATGGAGCGTTGGAAGATTCTCCCGAGGCATGTGGCATGTGGATAACAGCCAGTCGTGAGGGACAAGTACGCTTTTGGTCTAATACGCTTGAGCCGCTACGTACAGGTGTCTCCACTAGTAGTAAGTTGTCTAACATATTCAATAACAAAGCGTTAAAAACGTTTACCGAAAAAATACGGTAGCTCCTTAAAAGACATATGAATGCGAAGGAGTAGTCTTTTTGCTTTGTTATTCAGTATTTTGAATTAACGGTTTTAAAAAATTAAATTAAATTTCAATTCATTTAATAATTTTCAAGTCAATCTCAAAATGGCTACATGGATACTGCAAGTACAAGCGCTCTCCGACGTAAGTATCGTTTGTACCTCTTCTACTGAACGCGAGCTACGTTTTCACGAGACAGTAGCCTCTACCTTTACTCTGCGCATTGTTATTCGGAGTTTACCATTTGCCGTATGCAGCATGTCCTACAGTTTCCATCCGAAAGGGAAGACTAATTCGCGACTGGTACTCGGTGATTTCGGTGGTAATGTAAGAATTTTGGAATTTACACCATTTCTTCGTGGACCATTTCAGAGTAAACCCGGCGCTGCGCTCGTTGAGCTGTTCTGGTCCGACGTTCTTAAAGTGAGATTCGTTTTCCGAGCACATACGTACATATGTATATAAATTTTTATAGCCGTAACTGAAAATTGTATCTCCCTTGTTTTGACAAATAGGGTAAATTACCTTTAATGAGCGTTCGTGAATATCCAAATATCCACAGTGAGCTTATACAACATATCTACTTTTCGATTCGCATGAATTCACTGCTCGTGGCTGCAGAATATCGCAATGCAAAGAAATATCGCGCACGCTGTCCGGGTTTAATTATAGCTTCCGGTGAAGATAAAACCTACTTCCGCATACCAATGGTTAGTAACTGCCTTCTTTTAACATTAGGTATATTACTCTGTGATAACGTATCGTAATCCTTAAGGGCGTTTCAACATTTTTTGTTGCTGAAAAAAATAACATCGTTGTCACTGGTGGTCCTGATACCTTTGTGCGTGTCTGGGATGTGTACATTTCAAGTAAACCATCCGGTATACTGACCGGTCATAATGGCGGTATTGTTTATATCTTCGTACAAGCCGAGGAGAAAAAAATTTATAGCGTCGATTATCACAAAATTATAAAAATCTGGCACATGACTGAGTACACATTACTGCAGACTTTTGGCGATTTAGTACGCATTTTGGCTTCTGAAACAGATTTGAGTTACTTGTATCATCCATTGTCACGTGATTTGCTCGTTGGTGGTCGTAAGCTTATTAGTATAAAATGTTGTGCACGCATTCGGGTGGATCTTACCGATGGTAATACACATGCTGCACCCGTTTCCGTAGTACTATATAATGGACTGTTTCGCAATGTGGTCACTTGTGGCTTAGATAGTTATATAATAGTGTGGGATCCATGGACCGGACGTCGTAAAATTATTATGAAGAGCTGTCACACGAAAATGGAATATGGCGAAACAATTGACATTGAAATTACGGCAGCATGTTTTGATCCCTTGGAGCAATTTCTACTGACCGGAGCACGTGATGGTTCCTTGAAAATATGGAATTATAATAATGCAGTCTGCATGCGTAATATGAGCATAAAACCAGAACATGAAGTTACGGCCGTTGTTTGGGTTGTTGAGAGGTGAGTAAAACGAAGAACTAACCACTAAAACAAAGCTTTGAAAACTAAAGTTTTTCATTTTCGAGAGATTTTCGAAATTCAGATTGGACTCGAAAATCAGATAATACGCGTATCTAGGTATTATTCTTCAAAGTTCAGTTTCGTTATCACAAAATTTATAAAGTGTGTCTTGTATCAGCCTATACACGGTTTGAGAAGAAAAGACAAACCATCACCACTTCTATAATGATCTTAGTTAAAATCATATTAATATATTTAATAGGATATTAGCAGTTGGTTGGGATCAACAAGTTACGGAATTCAATGATGTTGAAGGACGAGAATATGGCGACCCAAAGAAATGGACAAAATTCCATAATGACGATATCACTTGTGCCGATGTAAAGTTGGGTGAAGGTGTCGTAACAGCCACTTACTCCGGCGAGTTAATATTTTGGAAACTTGAAACCGGTCAACCATATCGTAGATATAGTGTTGCAGATCCTTTGCGCTTCATCGAGGTACAACGTGACGCAATCTTATTTTCAAAAATATTTAAAAGCAAATTTCTTTTGCGCAAATCAATGATTAGCTGAAACACAGAGATTCCGAGGCAGATGGATCCGGTAGGCGTGTCTCACAACATCTGAGCATTTCACGTTATGTGCGCAAATCCATTTCGGAAGGCATACTGAAGATCGAAACGCAATTGAACAAGAGACCCACATCATTTGAACGGACCTTTTCAGATGCCGATATTCGTGATGATTTGGCATATGCCGTGTCTTTGCGTTCTACCAGACCCGTGTCCGTGCAGGCTGTACTATTTCTACAGACGCGTCCTATGACAAAGGAGCATGGTGCGTTTATAAAACGTAGAAAAATCATTTATGACCGTATAATTTTGTATGTGTGTGCTTTTCAATTTTTAGGTAGCGTTTTCGTCGCTCTCGACACGGGCGTAATTCAGGTGTATTCACATCATCAGCGCGGCGGTTATCTCAAAGAGTTCAATTCAAGTCACCGCACTGGAGACTGTGTTCTAACAATGGCAACGGATCGGAAGAATCGTTATCTCTTTACGGGCACAGCATTTGGTTATATTAAGATTTGGCATATTGTCAACTATTGGTAAGTGAAATGAAATTTATCTCCATTTCATTAATTTAGTACGGAACTGTGTACATATGTTTGTATTTTTGAGATATCACTTCTTCTTTGAAGCACATATTTTGATACATATACTGTCATAATGCTATATATGACACTATGTGCATATGTACATACCTATATCAATGTAAGCAAGAATTTTAAAATTTTTCTCGTAAGTCACCATTTTATAAAAAAAAGTCTGCAGTAAAGTTTAACATCGTTACGGAGGATTCATTACGAAGGACCGCACAACGCAAGTGAAGCATTACGTTTCTGAAAATTATGTCATGTCTTTAATGGGAAGTTCTTGTGACCATTAATGGTTTTCATAAGCTACATCGTAAATAGATTCACAGATTACGACTGCTTCAAGGGAACATATAAGTTTCCCTGTTTTTAACTGTCATAGTAAGTATGAATTTTAATTATGATCCATAGGTAGAAGGAACTTTCTTTAACGAATATGTTCATCGACTTTGTCGAAATTTGAAATGTTTTGACTGCTTTTCCTCAGCATAAGTAGACCAATCGGTATTTCACATAAGACCACCTGTTCAATCGATTTCTCGAATTCTCTACAACTCTGAAGGTACCTGCACCAGTTGGTGGTAGTAAAGGAAAGTGCGGCCTCCTCTAAAACCTAGTAGTCTCCTATGTATTGGAAAGACCATGTGAACAAGACTACAAATTAGTGGAAATGGCGCGAAGAATCATCATCATTTCGTAGATTCGGTCAAAAACGTTTGGGCAGTTACAGTCACAATCAAAAGGCAGTATATAAATCCGTGTGATACGGATAGCAATTATGGAAAAGATGAATAGAGTAGCTCGACATGACAAGCTTACCCAAAATTTGAAAATGTATTACTTACATGCATACGTAAGTATGTATGTAAGAAAAAAATTCCATTTATGAAAATATTTTAGAAATTGCCGCATACAAGAAATAACTGCTTAAGCAAACTTTTGTGGGAGTCAACAAAGCAAAAATGTAGGTTATCAATCTTGAATGCATATGTATGTACATATGTATTCATAAATAGGAATATTTACGGAAGTAAATTGCATATCATTTGGTAAACTTTGGTTTGCGTGTTTAATTTAACAAGAACTTAGTTTAGCTCTGTAGCAAGGATCTTTAGTAAATGGCGAACGGGCGTACCAGTAAATAAATGTAATATTCAAATATTTTCCTTGAAACATATGTATGTACATATGTGCATGTGTTCGTGCATACAATAGATATGAGCACAGCTATGCAGACTTGTAGCAATAATTTTACAACAATCATGTCAAAATGTAAGACACTTGTAAACAACTGTTGACGTTTTAACGACTTTTGTGGTTTTTGCTTTGGTTATTATAAGTACAATGTATATCTGAACTTTGGTTCGTCGCATGTGGCATGCCGCATAAATTACCGTTACCTGTTGCATCACCCACATACCAAATAAAAAAACTTATTATTCTTACTAAGCAATTTTCTGTTTATTGCATTGACTTGCCTATGCCAGCATACCGGAACGCGAGAAACAGCATGTGTGTATGCCACTACTACGCTTGCAATTCATATTTTTGCGCAAGGAACGCTTTTTGACACGCTCGAAGCGCATAGTTAGAAATCAGCCGGAGCCAATGCTGTTGAGTTCATATAAAGCACATATAAAAGCGGTCAATTCGATAGTCTATATAAATACGCCAAAAATATTATTAACGTAAGTGTTGTTACATTGTAGATACTTTGAACAGTTTGGGGTTTAGGTTTTAACTTGATATTTACTAATTTAGCATTTTTTTTTAATTTACTATTTTCCTAACCAGCGGCAGTCACGACTGTTCATGTCGCCTTTGGTCACTAGGCGGCCGCTATCTGGGTACTTTGGGTACACCTCTACCTTGGCTTAAGTTGTCACCTTTTGAATCTGTGGAGGAGGATCAACGATATCGTATGCCGCCTGATATTAAGAAGGTGGCAAGTTCCACAACGATGAAGGTAATTATTTTAATTAAAAGGGATTTGCAACGACTTTTATTTAAAAAAAAATAAAACTGGGAAAGCTATGGCATACTGAAAATGTTGTGCCAATTTTGTATAGCAGTGGATCTGATGATGTTTTTCTTGGAATTAGTGCCTGCTTGCATTACTTAAATTTTAAGAGCGTTAAATAAATTTTTTATTAACTAAAGTTTGTATTGCAAAACCAGTAAATCAAAATTAATTTCAATTTGCATGAAATGCCACATATACCAGACTTCGAAGCTATCGGGATCGAAAAGTTTAAAAATAAGTGTTTTCATTTGATCTAGAAGCGCATAAAAAGTGTGCTGTATTTGTAATTCCCAGTCCCTGAACAGGGTATAGTAAGTCGAGGTTTGTAATACCCAGAAGGAAACGTCGGAGACGTTTTTGAGATATCGATCTGAATTTTTGATATTATACTACGATGCAATTGAAGTTTCTTATTTTTAATGAATGCCGGTTGACACTAGATTTAACAACATAAATGAAATAGAAATTTCTAAAAAATGGAGTAACCTAATAAATTAGTAATAATACTAAATGCAAGAGAAGTGTGGGGACGATAATTTTATTTGAAGCTTTATAGCATTAAGCTTAAAACATTTTCGTTTTTATTCGTTAAAATATGTTATTATAAGCTCTCTGTTGTGTTATCATATTAATAAAATGTTTGTTGCAATAATTGATTTTTATAATTCATAGCAGAACATAATATATATATTTGGGCATTTCTATGGTATTTTGTAATAAAAACTACTATGATTTTTATATTTAATATTAATATTTTAATAGTATTCAAAATATAAAAATTTTGGAAGCACTTACTAATTTTAATTTATCCGTTTCCAACTGGGTGCAAAACTATTACTTCACTTTTTTGAATTTTTATTTGCGCGTGGAAACGTTAAGTTTCGCGTTTGAGCACTTAAATACATATTTTTGAAACGGTTCGGTTTAAATAATAATTGATATCATTAAAATTTCTTGAAACACTGCACTCACTTTCGTATTCACAAATAACAGCTGCCTACATACATCTATACATAAATAGTACTTATTAAAATTGCATGGGTTGACTTTGCTTAAACACAAATTTTTCATTTACACTTCCAATTGACTTTGCTTAAACACATTTCCACTGCATGATATAGACACAAGATAATTACCATCGCACTTATTCAAATGGGCTTTTTCTTGCTTAAAAACTTTCTTTATTGATCATATTTAAACATTTAGTAAGCGATTAGAACACTTTTTATTTAGATTCGCCAGAGAAATTACACATTTGGCGAAGAATTTTAAACTTTCAATTTACGCGTACATTTTTTGGACACACATGCACTAATACTGACGCGTTGCTTGACATTCGTTAAATTCCGTTAGCTGTACGGAAACGCAAGCAACTACAGGGTGGTGCGTATTAACGCTGAGAAAAAATTAAAGTTAGGCAATGAATTAGAGTCAGATTTGAAATTTAGAGAGGCTAAACGGAAATTATAGGTGTTGTTTATATGTTTGCAACGCCAAAACAATTTAAAACAGTTTTGAAGCCTTCGTACAAACGTTAAGAAATTTTGTATACAATCAGAATTTGCTAGGAACTTGAGTGAAGTGCCGAAGAGTAAAATTCATCATTAATTTGAGCAATTTATAAATAAATAGGAATAATGTAAAAAGTGAAAAAGAGCATTTTTTGGCGCAGGCAATCATTTTATTAATCTTATATTCACCTAATAACTTTTCATTTGACTTAAATTTCAATGTTTATCGCCCAAAGGTAATCTCTGGCGTACAAGAGGACAAGCGACCTGTTCGTTACGATCCAAAAGGTGCTGAAGATGAAGAAGCTGTCGAAGCAGAGGCCACAGCGCGTATGTATGGCAAGCCGTTGAGAGAACCAATACTTGGCAAATATTTCACTTTGCCCGGCAAAAGCGCTACAGAGCAACGCATCGATTTGGATACATCGCTCTCGTATATACCGGTATTTTCACATTTACGCATACACGAAGCTGATGATATTGAGCGCCCACCAACACCGCCGGCAATACGCCGCATAAATAATGAGGACTATATGGAATTCTACGATCCAAACAAGAAGGAGCGACCAGGACAAAAGAAATGAGACTCTTGAGTATTATGTTTACATGAAAATATATAGCTGATGAGCGGCGCATTAGGAATGATTTTTTTCAGATATTTTATAAAATTTTAACGACTTCGATTGGGTACGAACTATTTTTATGTTATTTTATACAATAAAAAAAAAGATATTTAACTAATTACATGTCACAGAACAATCGTATATATCTTAAAACCTACAAACCTAAAACCTTACAGAACAAAATAATTGTGCATTATATATATACCTCGATAGACTTATATTAGTACGTAACTAATCTTGCAATATAGAACAGGCATCAAACATCTGACCGGCAATATGTACATATTTAGTTGGTTCTCTCTGTGAAAGAAAATCGAAGCAATGCGTCACCAGTTTCGATAAGTCAATTATATTTATTTCGCTTGCTTCGGAGGCAGATATTTGAACGGTGCCGCTGGGTACTTCACGCTATTAATAATTTTGGATAATTTAATACATACATACATATGTATGTAAATATATTATATAATTGTTATTGTACTTACCAGTCTATCGAGGAAGTGTAGAAGTTGTTGACCCACTGAAGCTATTTTCAAGTAAGCATCACGTGATCTGTTTGCTATTAAATTTAAGCGTTTACCAGCCACCTCAAGCAGCAAACGTGCAACATGTTCGTCGTCTCGCAACTGTTTCAAAAGCACTTCACCTTGTGCATCGTAAGAATGAGCGTACATTTCCACCGCCTGAAATAAATAAATAAAACAACCGTTATTGTCATTTTATTTTTTGATTTTTTATATTTACATACCTGCTGACGTATAAGTGCTGTCTTCTTCAAATTCCAACGTTCAGCCAAGCCCATTATCTTCTCCATGAACTCCATGTGCTCTTGTGTGTACAGCTGTTCTAGGTCTTCGCGTATCAAATCCATTGAGGCACTGATAGCCTTGCATAAGAAATGCTCACGTTGTTGTTGCAATACCAAATCCGCTTCTGGCAGCTGATATGGCAATTCCTTGTTAATATCACTGAAGAACGTCTTATTAGCCATGGCATCGAATACGTTCGTAATGGGTTTAGGCATTTTTAACTGCAGCGAGGCAATTAAGTGCAACACAGCGCAAAGCTCAGAATGCAACTGCAATAATTCCACAATGGCATTGTGTTGTTGCAATGCCAGGTATTGTAATGGCAGCGGTCCCTCGGTTAACGATTCCTCGAATTTCAATTCACGACTGCCGTGCTCTAGTGAGGTAATAAAATGTTCCAAAAATTGCAAACACAATTCTAGAAAATTGGGTACCAAAGCTGCTGACATTTCAATGTCTTGTTGGCACATTCTATCTTTTGGCAGGCGACCCACCTTTTGTATCAGCTTCATAGTCGATTGTAGTGGATACTTCAATGCGGCATTCCAAAGCATACAACAGATGCCATGCTTGAGCGCATAATCTTCCGGCTTGTATTGGCTCATGCAAGCGAGTGAGGCACGCATATACTCCAAGCGCGGCAAGTTTTTGCTCCAATGCACCATATAGTGCCAGGACATAAGACTCAGTAGCATGCCGGGTTCCAAACTGAATGGAAAGTGTTCGCGTAAAAGCTGTAACTTTTGAAGCACTGGATCAGCGGCAGTATTGTCAGCAGATTCATTGCTGGATAAACATTGATCACCACCACCGCTGTCACTTGGTGTCGCAACGTCATTATCTGCAGTCACTTCTTTAGGTGTCGTTGTCTGACAGCTTTCTTGTGCACTGCTTTCCACTACTTTCAATTCGGTTGCCACAATTCTCGTTGGATGTATACGTGAATTAATTAACCATTTGGCAGTGAGATCCGTGACGATACCTTTGCCACCGTTGACAATGAATTTCAAACTGCAATCAGGCGGTTCATAAGGCAGTTCAGGCATAACAGGTTCACTGCATTGAATTGGATGCCTGTTGGAAATGCAAGTACGTTAATTATTTAACTAAAACAAAAAAACAAATACTATTTGTCGACTTACTCCACTGTGGCGCCTAGTATTGAGATGTCTTCCAATTTTCCTATGAGTAAGCCCCATTGTGCTTGATCGTGTGAGATTTGCTCCCACTTTTCTTCCTCTTCTGTCTGTGAACCTTCGTCACAAGAGCCCTAAGCAATTGGCAACAACATGTAAGTGTTTATATAGAAACTACTATTTGGCGTACCTCTCTATATCCGCGACGTAATTTGGCTGCAACTGATTTGCAAACGATTGCCGCTAGTAAACCGAACGATTTTGGACAATCCAAGAGTATTTCACGAATATCCTGCCACCATTGAGAAATTTCATTATAAGCATAGTCGTTTACCCGTTCGCCAGCAATCTCGCAAATCGCCTTTATCATGGCTGCCAAACGTGACATATCCGCAATAACTTCATCACTGCAAATAGAAAAGTGTTTGGGTGAAATCGAAGGTGTATTATCTAACTTATATACGAGTTATATAATATTACCAGTTCTGGTAACGAAAAGGTTTATCCATCCAAAAGTGTAGCGCTAATATCAGCAAATCTTCGGCGGGTATTTTCGCTTTAACAGTTGCCGCCTTCAGCTCCTCGAAGCAAAGACCGCATTCAAAGAATTCTTTAAAGAGCTGGCCACTGATGTAACCAAAACTATCGATTTTTTCACGCAATAACGTTAGCTTATCATTATCATCTACTTTGAATATGCTCAAAAAGTCAACAAAGTCGCCATCTTCTTGACATCGCTCCTGGAATGTGACTTTCCCGCTAAGTTGTGCGCCAGCTTTGCTCTCGTTGGGGCTCGGTTGTGCATATTTATCGCCAAGCAACAATATTATTTGATTGATGGTCACCAAATCGCAGTCGTCCAATTCTAAGTAATCATCAAATTCAACCTCAGTCGGCCGCTTTAAGGTTAAATAAAACTCTGCAAGGCGTTGGTAGTTCTCAACAATGGTTTTAAAATTTTCATGTTCTGCATTCGCTTCACTTTGGTCGTCATCTGTGACTTGCGACTGCAATGAATCGGCAAATGCGTTTATAATTTTTTGAAATATTTGCGGTTTTAATTGCTTATTCTTCTTCAACATGTCCAAACATTGCTGGCGTACTTCAATCGTTTGAAAGTCAGCTGCTATAGTTACAATTTCCTCGACATTGACAGTCTTATCCAAATCACGCAAGAGACTCTTTAGACGCCGGAACAAATCTATGTCTCGTGAGGTTTTAGAGTTTATCTCACTTAAGGCGAAATGAAAGGGTATCAGCACTTCTTTTACGCTGCCATCGCTGGGGTCTAGGAACAGGCAATAATTCGGTGTAGATGATTTTACCTTTAAACCGGGCGTTACACCTAAAAAAAAAAACAATATATATAGGTATATAAAAAAATATGAAAAAAAATACAAAAAAAATATATTTAAAAAAAATACAGAAAAAAAATATTTAAAAAAAAACAATTTAAAAAAAAAATTTAAAAAAAGTATTAAAAAAAATATATTAAAAAAAATATTAAAAAAACACATTAAAACAATATATAGGTATATAAAAAAAAAAAAATATTTATGGTGTTTACTCACCCATCAGCCCATGCGTATTATATGCTAATTGCCCACTCTTTGTGACCGTGAAGGCAGCCACCTTCGGACCGTGTTGTAATGCCCAAATTTCTAAACAACCTAAACGTGGAGCATAAATAACTAAGAAAAGCGCTTTTCGATGTTGTGTTTTTACGCCTTTCAATGAACGTTCTTTAACTGGTACAAACGCACATCGTGCATCACGATAACCCTTCCAAACACGCAACAATATACCACGCCGTAGATCGACCAGCACAACGCGATCCAAGTTATCGGTTACAGCTGCGAGCTGTCCATTTGGCGCCAATGCAATTGTATATCCATCACGTTTGCCATCATAAAACCGACAACGAGGACGAAACATCGACTCTTGCGCATGCGTAGCTGCCGAGTCAGTTGGCTTTTCTGGTTGGCCAAATAGTTTACCCCAAACACTACGATACGTTAAGTCTATGACTCCCTTGGCTACTTCACCTAATGTTGTGGTCCGGTATCCCTCTTCTGCATAGTAAAAACCTAGATAAGGTTCAGCACCCACACCTACCACCATCGAATGTTGTACAGGCGTTGTATTCACTTTGGCATAACAGCCAACACCAATCGCCTGTTCAATGATATGATCATACATAGTAACATAACGTGAACCTGTGAGTGCGGCATCGTTAATAATTGCACCGTTTTTCCCAGAAAACTTAAATTTTTGAAATTGCAGCAGGTCGGCGGCGGGAAGTCCCGAAAAGTTACTTGCTGCATTGCGACCATATGTGCGATTGAAATTAAGGCGCAAATTAACTAGATGTGGAAACATATCGGCGCCTTTAATAATGCTCATACATTCATTGTAAGTTATATATACGAAGGAATCGGCTTCGGAATGTCGAGGCGGACTGTAAGCTTTAATGCAGAGCACGGGACCATCATGATAACTGCAAAACAATAGAAGATATAAATTTGTATTCATATATTGCAGAGGTTACTATTATACCATTGTGAAAATATTTTTATGCCAGCGTCGGTGTAAAATAACACCATGCCTGAGTTAAGTCCAATTGCAATACAAGTCCATTCGGCGCCTGCGCTGACACCCTTTCCATATATAGGCAGGCACAGTAGCGATGTAATAATTTGATTGGGGTTATCGAGCTCACCACACCAACTCAGTACATAAGTACTAACTTGACTTTTATTATCCCATTGTGATGAAAGTAATGCTAATTTTTCACCCTGTCCCAAAGCGATGAGCTCACCCGTTGGTGAAATTGCAAAATTTACGGCATTTAACCAATTTTCGTCTGAAAATGTTATTAGACATATTTATTATATTACGAATTTGTATTCTGTCTTTATGGTAATGTGTTTGGGAATTCGATACAGGCGACGTTCTTACCATGACTCAAACCGAAGTATTCTTGTACTTTGTGGAAATCACGGATTTCGCCAAATGTTTTGACCTCGCATGACATATTCGCAGTTACACGGCATAAACTTTACGTTTCAAATTAATTTTTGTTTATAAATTAACAAAGAGTTGATAAATATACACAATTTTGTTGAACAAATGACGTTATATATTTGTATCGTTTTTGTTTTGTTGTTTACTTACAGCTGATTGGATTTGACACATATGACAGCGCTGCTTTTAGAAACTGCAGGGTAACTCATATACACAGTAAAAATACTGGAGACAAACATTAAATTTGTCATAATTCCGTTGTATTATGTCAAATTCATTATTTAATAAAAAAAAATATCTGAAATATAATATTTTTCGATTATAATTTGTTTTTATAAGTATTTATTATATAACTGATGGGCTTAGATAAGAACTATGCCTGTGTAAAACATTTGATTGTATTACTGATATGAAAAAGTTATGCATGTTTATATATTTACATAATTTCACTTATTGCAAGAAATACCATGCAGTTTTCCTACTGCTCATTATTGGTTTATTGTTCATTTATAACCAAACATCAATTTTATTTTATTGTTCTTTATAAAATAAATTTTTAATATACTTACATACTAACAAAATAAAAACCACACACTATAATACATAACCAATTAGAAAATGAACATTCAAGTTTGCTTTACTTGTATGTAAAGCAATCTCACAAATCTGATTCAACGCCGCTATCTATATAATCCTTAAGTAAAAGACCACAACGCAAAGGTAACAAACGACACCAATTATTGACATGGAGCAGGCTACCAGGTATTGTAGTTTCATTAACATTTGAACGGTGTGCCTCCACAATATGTTTGGCAACCTCCTTGGGATCCAGTAGGCCAAGCATTGATGGAAACTTTACTTTGGGCCGTTTGCATAGACCAGTGTTAGTCATATAGGGGTAAACAACGGTAAGCTTTATCTAAAAAAAAATTATAGATAATATAAATACTTATTCGAATTTCTATATAACAAATTTGCGATTTACAAAATCCTTGTAAGGTCCTTCGCGTATTTCCTCATGCAACGCCTCCATCATGCCACGCACAGCGTACTTGGTTGCACAATATGGTACTAAATTTGTTAGCCCTACAACTCCGGCAATCGAGGAAATACATATAATATGACCACGTCCCTGTTGCTTCATTTGCGGCAGGAATGCTTCAAGTGTCCAGAAATGTGATAAAACATTTATATCGAATACGCGTCTTATCTCTTCAGCAGTATGTTGCTCCAGCGGATGTGTCGGCATAATACCGACATTGTTCACCAACACAGAGACACGTCCAACTTCAGCTTCAACTTGGGCGGCTAGCTTCAAAACTGCATCACGATTTGCAACATCGCAACTATAACAAGATAGTGTTTATTTACTGTGAAATTATTTAGATATATATGTATTTTATCAGTAGTTTACATACGTGTAACCATAAACAGAATTTTGCATAAGTCTTTTAGCTTTATTCAAAGTTTCTTCATTGTTCTTCTCATTTATATCGACACAGACAACAACACTACCCCATGCCGCATAATGTAGCGCCAATTCACGTCCAATGCCATGTCCAGCGCCTGTTATCTACAGAGTTCATTTATCATTTAAATATGTTTTCCTTCTTACTTTTATGGAAATAATTTTTATTAAATAATATATTTAATAATTTACTGACATATACGCACCAATATAATTTCACCGCTAATATCCTTCAGCCTTTTGGTCATAAACTTTTCAAAAAGACTATGCAATAACTCTAAAAGAATTTTTACAAATACCACAAAGAATTCACTTATATCCTGCACGATGTCCATTATACGTTTTGAAGTTTTATTTGTGCTGAAAAATTGAATATATTCACATATGCTTTGAAACGCAAGTTTTAATTAATTATAATTTTGATTATTAGTATTTGTTTTTAAACTTATAATGTTCAATTTTTTACAAATCGTATTAAAATTTTTTTATTTCAATGATGTTTGCGCTTATATACATACATATGTATGTGTGTTTACGTGTGTGTTGCTTTCTTTTGTCGACTTTTTCAATCTTTGACATTAAAGTATCTCATACGCCTAGCTGAGCCCGTTTTGGTTTTTATATTTTATTAGTAATTTAATAATTAAACAAAAGAATATGCAGAATTTGTATCCCGCTATATTCCACTTGATTTTAATTCACTAACTTGACATTCGTCCAATTAAACTAGTTCAAGCAATAACGAATCAATTTCGTTCCTCTTGACTAAAATGTAAATAAAAATGTTAACTGAACAAATTAAGCTAATAACGAACTCTGAACTCAACAAATTATGGTATTGAATAAAAAAATGTCGCCAACGTATGGATAAAGCATTTCTAGTAATTGCCGGCCATTATTATAGCCTGGGCCGACCAGTTTGCATGTCACGCCATTGTTGGCCGCAATAAAGGCAAGCAATCCTGTAATCCTCTATATATGCATTTGTGTGCGTGTCTGTCCACACGCACCTCCTTTCACTACTCAAATCTGGCACTTGTTGCCGGCAAGAAGGCGGTAAATGTGTTACCGAAACGTGAACAAAAGCAACGTCATTATGAATAGTTCACAAAGTAAGGATAGATGTGTTTTGACAGCAGTGGTAGGCTCACACACAAGCAAATATAATATGGTTGTGCAGATGATATGACAACAAGTGCTATTAGTGTCAGTGGAAAACATAAAAAATTGCATGAGTTTAAAAAACATTTATTTAATTATTTGAAAATCAATTAACCTAATAATCATATGCAAATGTGAATCAATGAATATTTTTTTTATTTTATTGCATTTTATGCACAAATGCAATACAAAATTTGTCAATTTAATTAGTGAATTTGTATGCCAAGCCGGCGGAAAATTGCGAATGATGAAATGCAGGCGGTGTTTAGCGTGGAAATCGAAAGTGTGTTAAGTACTTGGCTAAGTGGAAAGATAATACCCTCAAGTTCAAGCGACGTTTTTGGAACAAATTCAATATGAGTACTACTATGGTTAATGGCAATGCAAAACAAATGTTTGTATGTGTAGGTATGTATGCTTATACGAAGTAAATGTAACCAAAACGTGATAGTAATTTCAATTAAATGAATTGGTAGGAGCAGAGTGTAAATATTTACTTAGCATACAAAACATTTGTTTATGTAGTGGAGTGGTCATAACCCGCTAAATTTTTATTGCTGTTTGTTTTGATCATAAAAGATGTTGTGTTATGAAAATGCACTTTAAATTTCTGATGTGCAACTTTGATATTATAGAGCTAGAGTTGCATAATATTTCCGAAAATGACTTGAGAAATATTTTTAAAAGATTGCAATCTTGACGAAAGTAAAAATTATTTGTGCCAATATTTAAATACTTCTGATTCACAAAATTCGTTATTGCCAGCCGACTTGGCAGGGATTGTTTTGAGATAACTTTAATACTTCAATGGAGAACAAAGAGAGAACTTTTAGATTCATATTACTAATTTTGATGAGGGAGAATAATAATGTCAAAGTAAATAAAATGTATGTAATTACTTTATTTTGTTCTTATTTTTTAATATTATTAGCGTGCATTTAAAATAAAAAAAAAATTTTGAGTTTAACAAGAACATTCAAACAAATATAATATTTAATTGCTTTACATAAATAAATACACATTTATATGTACGTTATAAAGGTGTAAATACACTGAATTATTGAAAACATCACAGTACCTTCCGGGTTACAAAAAATGAATTTAATAAATAATTGAATCAACATTCAAAGGAATTTTTTTTTTAATTTTAATTTTAATCCCGAAAATCTTATTTATAAATTGTTTTCAAATTTTTAATACAAAAAATCGGATTTATAAAAAAAAATAATAGCAATTATTTTAATGCCGAAAGTCGAATAAAAAATTAAAATTTTAATCCTAAAGAAAAATTGTTAATCCCAACAATCTTAGGAAAGTTAAATTTCCAATTTTTATTTACGATTTTGGGATTATAAATTAAAATTTCAAAAACAAAATTTAAAAAAATTATTAATTCAAAATTTTCAACCATGAGTTCCTTGGAATATGCTAAATTTAAATCAATCCTGACCTTTTTTTTTAATTATATTTTTTCCTTTTATTATATTTACAATAATTTTTGTATTCAAATATACATATATCATTATTATATTATATTTGACCCAATTAGGCTCAAGTACTAAAAAAAACTATGTAGAATGCTTTAAACATTTACGTATTTAAGAAATTATTTACAGTTAGTTTTGAATATGTAACTGAAATTATATTATATTTATATGTATTTAGCAAATATTTTTTTTATAATGTTATACATTCACCGATAATCGATTAAATTACAAAATACAGCGCACATATTTACTTACTGTATCACTTCGCGCTCAAGCATGTTGCAACTGTTTTATACTTTACACTACAAGTATGTATTTAATATAAAGGGGCTTGCGAAGGTGCGCAGTCACACGTGATTACCGTTTGTATGGTTTCTTGCCGCTTTGTCCACGCCTAGGCTAACTGAATCTACAAATCCATAAATATATATATATACATATATGCATACATACACGAGCATACAAATACATCAAAAACAAAATAAAAACAGGTAAATATTTACAACAAACACTACTGCTGATAATGTTTGTTTATATTTTTTCCAGCCGGCAAAACGTAGCTTTTAGCTTAGCCGTCAGCACATTCACTTTCGTTTGCACAAGTTGCCAAACAGAGAACTTATTGAACGAAACTGGTCCGACAGACCGGTCGGCAACTATTGCATGTTGCAATTGCAAAACTGTGCGATTAAGCTCTAATGCAACGCTAAATGTTGCAAAAATGAAATGCGAATGCTTAGACTGCGGTTTGCGCAAATCACTGCCGCTTCACTTTTGGATCCGATTTTATGCGTCTCGGTGAGCGGCAAACGCGTTGGTTAGACATGCGAAAACTCGTCAAACTTTTCAGTTGCAACGTAGACAGCAATAATTTTCCGCTGCACGATTGCACAGTGTCCAGTGGCGGGCCTCTTGCTTGCTGCGGCAGAGATAGCAGCAGGTGTGATGAATCAACTGTCGTTGCTGCTAATGCAATGCTAACTGAATTTGCCGACACGATAATTGCATACCTGGATGTGTTGCAAGTAATTGCTGTGCGGTATTGCAACTGTTTACCTATGCGGTATGTTAATTATTAAATATTTGTTGAAAAATTTTTGAAAAGTGGGTAGCGGCTCAAGAAGCGTAAGTGCTTTTAAGTAAAGTTCTATTATCGTATTTGCGGTGTAAACGAGTTCAGTGTGTGTAAAAAAAAAAATTAACGCAAATAATTCTTAAATGTACCGTTAAAAGGTTGCTATTAGCTTGATGAGTTTTGCTCTATAGTTGAAACCACTGATTGTTTTACGATTTTCGCGACTTTGAAATAGTATTTGCTTCTTATAAACTTGGCAGGTAAATAAAGCTAATTTGAAGATACGACGATATACTATTTTTGTAAGCAGAACCATTTAATAATAACAACTTTACTAGATCTTTCAGGGTATATAAAGTTTGCCACGACGTTTGTAACAGTCAGAAAAAAAAATCGGATATAAAATTTATCTATAAATATTCAGTGTGACGAGCTGAGTCGATATCCGTCTGTTTGTCTATATATACGTGAATAAGTTCCTCAGTTTTAGAGATATCAAGCTGAAATTTTGCTGTGTTGTTTTCCTTCACAAATTGATTTGTGTGAACTGCCATAAAAACTGACCGATCTAATTCCAGTTCTTGTTTGGAAAACATTTACATTTGATGTGATATCTTCACCAAATTTGGCATGGATTATTTTCAAAGTATCCGAAGAAATTGTACAGATTGGACCACTATAGCATATAGCTGCCACACAAGGTAAGGTTAAGTTAGGTCATAGGGTTGATCCAAGATCGAATGAATTTCACTTGGACAGATATTCATTCTTGGTGTTACCCATAAACTCCTAAAGGTGCATCACTAGATGCTAATAGATCGACGAAGCTTTTTGTGCTCATCACAAATTTATGAAGGCGGTTAAGCAATTTTACTAGGTTCGTCAATGGTGTGTCTACCGCAACATATCAATCTCAGTCTGGCAAAAGCCGTGAAATAAAGAATGAAGTGAGAAGTTGATTCTAACTCGCCTTCCTCCATGCAGCTTTGGCAAAGAGCGCCCGGCAGCACATTTAAACGCACAGCGTGTGCACCTATTGTACCGTGTACAATAAAAGCACCTATAATAGGGCTTAATTTTTAAAGCTAAGAATTCAAAAAAATATTATAAAATACTTTATTGCACTAAAAAACACTTAGCAGAACACCGTAAAATTTGCTGTATTTTTGAAATAATTGCACTTCCTTGTTGCTTCGAAAAAAAGTAGAATCAAGGCAGATTAAATATTTTCGAACACCTACAACTTTTGTTTATCATACCAACTGTATGAAAAACTGGCTTTCAACTCCATTACCATAACATTACATTAATCACAATTGGTGTGTTGACATTATGTGCAACATTAAACTGTATGTATGTACAGCTGTAAATACATATGTATGTGCATGCTTGTGCACGCTGCATGAAAATGCGGAAGTGGAAGTGCCGATTTTGTGGATTTGTTGCAGCGAATGTGGGCCTTTTACTGGTTTCCTGAATGGGTAACGAAGCCACAAGCAGACAGTCGGGCAGACGGCATAATGCAGGCTAAAGTTCGTGTAAACGTACAAATATATATGTACTTATATATTATTAGTATGAAAGTATAAATATGTAAGTATGCGCGTTGCAAATCTGTTTGTATGCTTCAAAAATAATAAAAAAAAAATTTTTGCGCTTAAATTTCGCTCACTATATGTGAATTTGTAGCTAATTCTTCTTCTTGTTTACTGCATTTGTGCCGCGCATACAAAAACAAAAATTGCCATAAATCACTGTTGTATTTGTTTTAGTAATTTTTCCTGTTTTTATTTGGCTTTAAATATTCAAAGGCTTGCCCTCACTCAAATTCTGTGCACAGCACAAAGTTGTTATTGTCTCAGAATATTAAATTGTTCGCGTATGGTGTGTGTTCGTTTATTTTGCTCAACGCTTTAAAGTTATAACTGAACTTGCATCGGCCGCCGTTCGATGCAAACTGTTTGGTGCTGCGCTTGTGGCCACTGGCTTAACTGCAGCCTGAGTGCGGGGCTTTTGGCAAGCATCGCATAGTGCAAGCTTTTTGCGCATTTTTTCTCTACTTCTGTATATTGGCTCACATTTTCAGTGACAACACCAAAAAGCTGCTCTGTGACAATTGCAAAGCCGACAAGTGCAGTTGCCACTTAATATGGTAGATGCGGCCGCTAGTTGAAATGTGTTGAGCGCGCTTATTATTTTGAAACAGTTTTCAACTATGTACATATGTAATACATATATAACTATATTATATTATTATTATTTTTTTTATTAATAGTATACACGAAAATAAGCATTTAAAGCTTTATATAAGTCGCCTTTGTATAAATTTTAATTCACAACTTTTTTGCAAAAATATTTCTTCAAAATAATTATTGTAAATATCTAATAAAATAATAAAAATTAACATATTTCTGCAAGCACATATGCTAATGCTCGTATCGACAATCCATTTTGCTCTACAGTTGACTCTTTTAATTGACACTATTTGATCTTTCTTTGAACACGACAAAATGAAAAAAAGCGAAATAACCCTTGCTAATATGTTCGCATGTTCACTGTACGTGCACTTGTTCTCAAATATTTTCTTTTTCTCTTATTAAATACAGCGCTTTACACTGACCTTGCCCAACGTCAGCGATGACCAACTCCAATTAGTGTCTCTTTTCATCAGAAACAAGACCAGTGTTCTCGGCATAAAGAGATGAAAGTAATAGCAACAGCAAGCAATTTGAGATATGTATTGTACATATAGTTATATCTTAGTATATATGTATGTATATATTTGCTTGTGTCATATATTTCATACCAAAAATACTACCCAGTTAATCAAATTCTTTTATTATTGTTAGTACTTATTTGTCACCACACCGAAATATAATCTCTAAAAAATTTTGTCTGAAATTTTAGGGGTCAGGGGTAGTCAGAGGCACGAAAAAATGAGAATTTTCAGTAACTTTTTTATGCTATTAAATCTGTTATTTTACAAAAGTAGTAATATGGTATTATTATACAATGTTTATACTTGAAGTCACGAAAGTTTCAAAAAAAAAATGATAAAAAGTTATAGCTGTGTGTTGACTCAGTTCCAAAAAAAGGTTCTTGCGGTGACAATCATAAATCCTTGGAGATTTATCTAAAATCAATCGGATGGAAAAAATTGGTTTTATAAATAGATAATCCTAGGCCTGATTGAAGGTTTTTTTTTGTCAAAATTAACAAAATGGCGGCCTCAGGAAATTTTTTTTTAGATTTTTGGGAAAAAATCAACAATTGCTCTTAAAAAATCGAATTTTGCTGTTTGCTAAAAGCTGTATAAATTTTATTAAAATCTGCTGAGCGGTTTCCGAGTAACAGTTGTCTCTAGTTCGAAAAACATAGTTTTGAGAAAAACGCATTTATAGTTTCTTGCAGCTGCCGCTAGCTACCTGCTCCCAAGCGCTTTGAAGTGCTGGAGCAAAAAAATCAACAGTTTGTTGTTTGTCGAATAACTCAAAAAGTAATTATCAAATCAACTTGAAAGATAATATTTTCAAGATATTACACTTAACGAAAATGAAAAAAAAAAAAAAAATGATTTTTTGAAAATTCTGACTACCCCTAATCCCTTAAGTCACATTAAGAATGTATTAAAAATATCAACAAATTTTTATAAAACGGAAGAAGTTGTTCTGGATATACATATGTAAGCACTCTCATTTAGTTATCCTCGAATTGAAACTAAGAAACTATTACTATATAAGTTAAAATCTTACTATAAATTTTTGAAACAATTTACAATGTAGTAGTTTTTTCCCAATTCCCAAAAATCGCCCCTCAATATTGACAAATTTTTATTAAAAATGCACAAACTAGCGGCAAAGTCGAATCAATAACCAGTTTTATTTTTCACTCGTATTTCGTTCGTTTTGTTCACTGGGTTATACCATATACCTTGGTTATCATTTCAGTGTAGTGTATATTTTTATTTATTTTTTTTTATGTATGTATGTATGTATATCTGCATATGCACATTTATTAAGGTTTTTAACTCCTTTGTGGTCCCTTCACATTTCCTGTTTACTGAACTGTTGTTTATCGCGACTACTTTTGTACTTTTCAAGGTTAGAGCGGCAGAAGAATGCAGTGAGCTTATGCTGAAGTTAGCATAGCTTGATTAAGGAACCGGTGGGTAAATATGTAAGTGCTAATTTGGTTATGCTTCTGAAAGCGAATAAGCGCGTGAATTATGCATTTACCATATGAACATATATGAAGTGAAAGCAAATAGAGAAATGAAGGTATGGTATGGTACGTAAGGAATATACGTAAATATATGCTATATTATTATATTTCCAATACCATCATCAACATCCTATTTTGTATTATATTATTAATATTAATATAATATATTATATTGTTATTATTATTAATATCATCATAATTATTATTTTTTTTTAAATTTATTATAGGTCATGTCAAACAATTGCCATAATTAAATTTGAAGACATTTTTTATTTTAGAAATGAAGCTAAGACCTTACCATGAATCTGATAGAATACATATACATTTTATTGCTGCGAACTTGGTTCCATGAAGTCTCATTAATCACAGCCACTAACAGCACTCTTTTTAAAGTGCACTTGAAGGTGACAGGTGTTTAATCGCCTATCTCATGTAATTTATTTATACATTCATATTTTTTCGTGTCGTGTATGTAAGTAAGTAATTTGCATGCGAGCATTAGTTAAACAATATTAACTGTTAAATAATTCTGTTCATATTTATTCTATACATCAAAATAAATGGAGTTATAATAATAAGTGGATTTGCTGTTAAATATTTGCAATACTAAACTGCTAATGAAGGAAAATCAAAATATCTAGAAAATTTGTAGCGCCGTTTCCAAAACATATACATTTTATTAAAAAATTTACAAACTTATAAAAATTTAATAAAATTACTTACTATTAGCACATATTTACACTAATTTAGTAAGAAAAAGATCAACTCAAACGTTGTGAGCTAAATTTAGAAGGAAATCTATTTGGGGTAAATAAAAAGTGAATTGATTTTGTTCCTGACAATGTTTACATTGTATATTTTATTAATTTATTTTTTATTACACTGTATATGTGTATACACAATTATTCCGTACATTTAATACTCGAAACCATAGAAAACATTAGATGCAATTACGTGTGGGTGTGTGGAACAAACTATTAGGGTATTTAGCTGATGCACTGATTAAATACACAAATAGATACTAAGCAATTACACACAGTGTTTAAAAATGTAGAAGCGAATGTTCTAATAAAAATTTATAAATTTGAACATATAGAATAAATTATTCAAGTTTTCATACATTTTTCTATCTACTGTTTCTAAAATTATTAATATACTTTAGTAAAGCGAAATCTCCATCAAAACACCATGGAAATTTCTAATTAAAATTAGGGTAGCAAATAATGCATTAAAAATATCATACAATAACATTTAAAGTAAAAAAATATACATTGTAAAACTGAAAATGAATATTAAAAATTATTTTTAAATTTCTCATCCCAAATACAAGATTGAAAAATTAAAAATAAATTTTTGATCTCAAAACAAAAAATTAAAAGAAATAAATTAAATCAAAATATTTGTCTTAAATATCTTATTAAAAAATAAAAATTAAGTTAGGGTATTAAAAAAAGTTAGGTTTAGTTTACTTTTTATTTAGTAAATATATTTATTTACGTTTTAATTAGTAAATAAAAACATGTTATTTTAAATTACTTCACTTTCGTACTTCGTACCATTTTGGTAAAAGCTTATTTTTAATAAGATTACATACAGTTGACTCCCTCTATCTTATTTACATTTAATTACTTTTTTTTTAATTATAAATATTTCCTTTTTTATCGGTTTTCATTCCAACTTTTGATTCGAAAAAATAATTTTTTTATTTAATACACCAATTTTAAATTTAAAACATATTTTTAAAAATTGTTTTGGGATTAAAAAAAAAATTACCAATTTTTAATTTCGATTTTACAATTAGTAATTAAATTTTAAGTTCTTAATCCCAAAATTGATATTAAAAATTGTATTTTATTGAATATGATATTAAAAATTTAATTTTCATTTTAAATTTTATTTTCATTTTAATTTTTATTTTTTTTCATCTTTAATCCAAATTTCTTTTGCGAAGAAAATTTGCAGGACTGAATAAAAGCAATACTTTTTACAAAAACATACAATTTTGCATTTCTATAATAAATTATTATAATAAATAAAAAATTTGTTGTCTACAATATCGAAAATTATTATAATATATATTTTTTTATAAAAGTATATAAAGTTTTAGAAAGTCTCCATCTAAAAACATGTTATATCTACTTAAGACACCCAAAACGAAACACTGTTAGCGGAAGTATACACATTCAAATACATACTGTAGTGTGGAAGTAGTGTTGAAGCACGTGCTTTAATGATTTATTGAATGCTTTAACTTTGATTATTGATATTGGCTAAATAACAACCGAATAATAATACAGCACTTTGAATACAAAAATAAAAGCAACAGCAAACACTAATTTCGTGTAAGTACAACTTCAAATGCCTGCATATGCTTACCAAATATGAACCCAGTATGGAATTGTAATATTATGAAATCTTAATAGAAAAAAAAAATTTTTTATTTAAAAAAATTGATTTAATAATAATTATTTAATTATATTTCATTTTATTTAAAAAATACTTTTCAATTTTATGCAAATTTATTCTATGAAAAAAAAGTATTAATATTAAATTCGACAATTCATTATAAGAAATGTGAAAAAAATATAATTATGTGAACACTTGTTGCTTTAGCGGGTATTTTTTTTTCGAAATATAGAAGTTTGTAATCAATGAAAGTTGGCAGCTTAAATTAAGAATATTTTCTGTTTTTTTTTTGTTTCCCCTCAGCGCTATTATATTTATTTGAATGTTTTTGGGATGTAAAAAATAGTATTACTCACTCTTGAAGAGATTTTCCTATTGGGGTTCAACTAAAATTTCGTGCCAACTTTCAGTTTGTTGTTGCTCAGTAAAAGCGTTAAATATCAAACACATGACTTGTTCATTTCCCTTATGTGCGACATTACCGTTAGAGTTTCCTTTAAAAGCCAATGTGAAAAAAAAAATACAAATAATAAAGCTAACAATAGTAAATGTATTGTTCCAAAGCATAATATATGGATATTTTAATAAGTTTATAAGAATATACATACATGTCGCAACCTAAAATGCAAAACAACGTAATATCAGTTTTCATAAGTTTACAGCAGAAGGGCAAAACGATATGAAATAGAAACTCCTTATGTTGAAAAATATTTAATTTTTACTATAACTTGGTTAAAACTGATAACAGAAGCTTAAAATATATGATATAGTGCATGGTAATCCATAAAAATCTGAATTTTGAGTTTTTATGCCCTGAACTGGGTATATCAAGCTTGCACTAAGTGGAAACTTCGAAGGAACGGATATATACAAATATTCAGCTTGACAAGTTGAGTCGATTTTGCCATGTCCGTCTGTCTATCGGTCTGTATATAGCTCAAATTTTACACACGTCCTTTTCTCTCCAAGAACCTGCTCATTTGTTAAAATCGCCGATATCGGACCGCTATAGCATATAACTGCCATACAAAATGATCAATCAAAATAAAGTTCCTTTATTATTTGACTAGGTAACTTTACGAAATATGACATAGATTATTGTTCATGACAACGGTACAATTTCCGAACAAACTGTTCAGATCGGACTACTATTATATATAGCCGCCATACAAACTGACTAATCAAAATCAAGATAAAGTTTTTTTACAACCTTTTATGCCTTAAGAAATGCACCTGCGAAGAGTATCTTAGCTACGGTGCAAACGAAGTTTTCTTTTTTTTCTTGTTTGAATTTATGTTGCTTTCCACTTTAAGTGACGATATGTGTGTTTATATGAATATATATGTAATTGCATTTAAACTATAGGGTCTGGTAGTTTTAGTTGCAACAATGCAGCCTAAAAGTTGGCAATATAAAACATATACAATTGCCACATACACATGCACGTGGTGTGCCCCTGTATCGTTAGGAGCTTTGCAAAGCGCCAAGAATTCAACAAATTTCAGTTGAGTTTCGTGTGCGCAGCAAATAAGAACCTTTCAATCGTAGTTTTCACAATAGTGAAGTCAGAAAAATAAGTAGTGAAATGAAAAATTCTGCAGCTGTGGTGAAAGGCACATAAACAACTCAAACTACTATAACAACAAAACAACTTTTTTCTGAATATCAGCACAGTGCCGTTGACTCTTACAGAAATTTGTAGACGGGTTGTTGTTTACGAGTCAACACGAGTGATATGAGTGTGTGTTGTTTGCGCAATGCATGCATAGTATATACATATGTACATGTGTATGTATGTACATATGTGTGCGTGGTGAAATTTTATTGGCATTGGTACCGCTACTTCAATGTCGCTGCGGCAACGTGAATTTATTTATTTTTGCTTTTGCTTTAATAAATATAATACTGCAGTGTCACAAAGAAAATAAATAATATTTCACCAATACATACAAACAATATAGTGTAGTATTTATAGTAAAGGTGTATGTGCAACTTTTGCTAAATAATTAAATACGTGAAAAATGCAAATGAACAACTTAAACTAACGCTCATTTATGAAAAGTTTAACCGCCTGACTTCACACCACTCGTACGGTATCCTCTTGTGATACGGACGCAGCATGCGCCAGCCTAGAAGTATGCATTGCTTTTTGAAGAAAATCGTATTTTGTGTATTAATATATAGGTTTCAACATATTGAGTGTAAAAAATGTCTTTGCTTATGCACTCAGCGCATTTGCTCCTCCCTCTTACGCACAGAAACTGGTCAAACCAGTCTCTTTCCATTAAATGAGTATTCAAGATTTGTTATAGTATGAATAAAACACGCCTTCATCAGTTTGTTCAATGGCGGATGATGAAAGTGAATGCGGCTACTCTTAACTATTTTTAGAATCTTCTTATTTAATTTATATTTAGGCTTTATAATTTTTACTCAAGTGTCAACATTGTAAATATAAATATTTTCAGATGAAAAAAATAATGAAAAATATGTATTTTAACTGTATAATATGTATAATTTTTTACTATTTACAAAACGTTTACATTTATTTCAAGAAATAATACGCGCCTAATTCCAAAATTTATAACAATTTTCGGTTCTGCTTAATCAAAAAATGTCTAGCTGTTCTCCATTATTGATCAAATAAACAAAATGTAATTTTTTTCAAACTTCAAATCTGTTTTTCGCTAGTTCGTTTAAATTAGACAGAAAATAAGAAACATAAGAAAGGAAAAAGTATTCATACATTTTTTAAAGAAAATTTTTTTGACCTTTGACCTTGAGTATTTTTTTCACATATCGGAACGTAAACATGTTTTGAATATATTCATAAACTTATAGCTAGTTGCAAATTTATGTAACCATTGATGTCTATTACCGGAGTTGACCGGATTAAGAGTCGTTACTTTTTTAATTTTTATTCCCTGAACAGGGTATATTAAGTTCGACACGATGTTTTAAACACCCAAAAGGAAAGATCAGAGACCCTACAAAGCATATATGGTATATAAATGATGAGCTGAGTCGATTTAGCAATGTCCGTCTGTCTGTTCGTCCGACTGTTCATCTGTCTGTATATGTGCGAATTAGTACCTCAGTTTTTGAGATATCGATCTGAACACCAAGAAGCTGCTCATTTGTCGGAACGGCCGATATCAGACCACTATAACATATAGCTGCTATACAAACTGACCGATCGGAACAAAGTGCTTGTATGGAAACCTTTTTATTTGAGCAGATATTTTCACGAAATTTTGCAGAGGTTCTTGTCCAAGATAACTGTGCAATCTCCGAAAGAATTGGTCAGATTAAGTCATTATATATAGCATACAGCTGTCATACAAACTGACCGAATAATTTTCTTTTAAGAACTCTTTTGTATTCGTGAAGGGTATTATAGCTTCGGTGTTACCGAAGTTATGGTTTTTGCTTGTTTATTTAAAAATTGGGATTACCTTTTTGAATGTTTCAAGCCGGTATTTAGGATAACAATTTGAATTTTTCATTTTTAATCCAAAATTTGGTGTTCAAATTTTATTTATAATTTTTCAATCCGTTATTTGTTTTAATAAAGATTTTCAGAATTAAAAAAAAATATCTAACTATTAATTCGTCTAGCTTTTTAATGGACTATTGGCAACCCTGCTTACAGACTTTTAAACTAATTTTGACATATTCAAAACATAATATATTTGAAATGAAATTTTTAAATAAATCTGATACTTTATGGTACCTCCCTAATAACATTAATTGTTTTTTACAACCACACACATGTGTATATTTATTTAATAGCAATCTTTTTGTTTTGTATCAACAGAAAATGTCAGTGCAGCGCAATATACAAAAAACTCGATGTATTTCGTCTGCTCCAGCTGATACAACGCGCAGAAAACATGTCCATTTTCGTGAAATTCATAGTGAAGAGTCGACACGAAGACACGAATGCCAATCAGGCAGCTTACAGCCATCAATACGTCATGAACAACTTGCGCTGGATGATTCTGATGAGAGTTTTTTGCAAACTAATTCACACACTTTGAGTCATAGCAGCGCAACCACGTCGAACACCACGCATTTGGGAGTCGGTGGCATAAGAAGTAGTCAAAGCTTTTATCGCTTACCAGAAGATATACTCGCACGTGGCGATTTCATTGCTTATCAGGGTGCCAAGGTAACGGATTTTTTCAATTCGACGAACACTACAAGGCCGAAACGTGTCTCGGAAATTTGTTTAGTCAATGATCATTACATTTTGGTAAAGATTCCTGCATCCCAAATGGAACATGTTGCCACTATGGAGCCGATTGCCGAAGAAGATGGCAGTACGAGTGTTAATTCTGCGCATCGAAAAGGTTTCTTGCGTTATTTTCCTTGTCAAAGAAGCCGACGCGTAATACCCTTGGCAACTGTGAGTAAGCTGAAAATGGAGGAAACAGCGAACGCGAACGCTGGCAAAACTCATTCGATGCTAAAGTGTCCATTGGCACATTGTTGGCGGGTAAATGAGACGCCCGAGGTGTTTGACACACGCACAAAAATTTTAGGAGTATTTTGGAAACAGAAAGCGCCCGGAAAAGTCATAACAATACAACCAAGTAAAAGTAAAACAGCGGAACCATTGGATCTGCGCAACAAGACCGCACCGTTATACGAGAATGGCTCGTCGATTCTAGAGTATGACAACAAAGTTGATAAAGGAGCTTTTGGTAGTCCTTTGAATACGCCCACAAAAGTGGCGCCAACACTACCTATGTTCGGTGGTGCTTTGCAGACTTCTCTACACGATGCAGTCACATTGGAACAACACACAGCCTGGGTAAATAATGATGAGCTGGGAATGAAGCAAGTTTTTAGGAAGGACAACACCAAATCATCAGTGGAAAGTAAGACAACAAATCGGCGCTCAAACGTATTTCGTTGGTTCTTCAAGCGTACGAAAGCGCCAAAGCCCAAAAACAAAATTCACGCTGTCGTTTATAAAACATATTTCGTGCGTTGGAAAAAACCACCCGATGAGAAGTGTCCACATTGCGGACATTCAAGAAATGACGAAGTGTCTGCAGCTGCAACATGCAAATGGAAGCGTTGCCGTTCCGCCACGTTTTAGTTGTTCTCCAAGACGCAATGCATTGTGATAAAGAGTTAAGCAAGACAGGCTGTGAATATTTGTAAGTGTAGGATATGAATAAGCATAATTCATAAATTGTAGCAATAATAAAAAAATAGAAATTTTAGCAATAGGTTACAACAAAAAATTATTTTCATATTAAGCTTAGAGACGTATTGACGAGATGCGAATAACTCTTAGTTTTATCGAGCAAACCCCACGAGCGGACCATTCTCGCGACCCTAGGTTCTAAGGTAACCAAATTTTACTCGGATTTTCAAACAGCTAAGAGTTGTCAGCAAGCGACAGCAATCGCTAAAAGTATTTGGTAAATGGTTTACGTCGCTATTAGAGTAGCGGATAGAGCAAAGTGTGAACAAATTTTCTAAACAAATCTAATTAATATGATTCGACTGAGTGGAAACTAATTAAAGTTTAAAATAAATCAAGCGTTTCGCAAAATTTTTAAAAGTCTAAAGGAAACTCTGTAAATTATATATCTAAATGATCTGCTTGATGAGCTGAGTCGGTTTAGCAATGTCGGCCCATCTGTTCCTGTCTGTCCATCTGTTTGTCTGTATATATGCGATCTAGTTCCACAGTTTTTGAGACATCGATCTAAAATTTTGTACACGTTGATATGGGATAACTGTAGCATATAGTTGCAATACAAACTGACCGACCAAAAACAAGTTCTGATATGGAAAACTTTTTTATTTGACAAGCTATCTTCACGAAATTCATGGGCATGGATTATTATTCAAGACCGCGCGATAATCTCCAATTATACTGTTTAGATTGGACGATTATAGAATATAGTTGCCATGCAAACTGATCGATCAAAATTAAGCACTTTTATGCAAACTCTTTTATTTGACAAATTATCTACACCAAATTCTGTACAGATGATTGTCCAGGCAACGCTACAATCTCCGAATATATTATTCAGATTGCAGCACTATAGTATATAGCTGCCATATAAACTGTCCGATCAAAATCAAGATAAATATATTTTTTGAAACTTTTTTGCTATAAGAAATACACTTGTTAAGGGTATTGGAGCTTCGGTGCAGCCAAAGTTAGCGTTTTTTTGCCTCAAATACCTATGTATATATGCATATGTACAATATATTTTATATAGAGTACAAAAGTTTAACTTTACATATGGCAACGTTGTATACCACCTTCAATAAAGCCAACGGTATCGGTTGATAATATCATATGAGAAAAATGTTCAAAGTCCTTGCTGACTGGGGTGAAGGAGAATCGCTGCAATACACACATCATCATATATGTATATATATACATATGTACTCGTTGTGTATGTATATATTTACAACTAGTTGCCTACTACTAGTTGTATGTAGTTAGGCTTTCAACGACGCTGTTAAATATCGGACAATGTCGTTCGTTACTCCTTTGGCTGCCACGCATGCAACATATTCGTTAACCTTACCTGCCGCCTGCCATCTTTAACAACTTTGCACATTGAAAAACAAACTACTATACAAAAAAATATATAGAACTAATTAGAATATAAAAAGTTATTGCCGGCCAACGTCATTTCAGTGCACAACAAATTTCTTGCGCACAACAACCGCTTAGCGTTAGCAGGTTGCCAATTTAGTTAGGCAGCGTCACTACGCATACACACAAACAGGTAAGTAAAGTCTGAGTGGTTAAATAGTATGCTTTTTATCCTATTCATAGGCTTCGCCGGTGCTCCTTTTGCTATGTATACTTCAACACCTCTAAGCTTTGCTTTAGTGCTACAGACTGAGACTCCTTCTCCTTGCCTATTTTGTTGGCCTTACAGCCTACTTAGTTGTAGCTACATATGTATGTGTGGCAGTGTGTTTGTTTATTCTTTAGTTATTTTTTTTTTTTGGTTATTGTTTATTATTCTTTTTTGTTTGCGTAAAAGCGTAACCGTAACCGTTGAGCGCCATACAAGCACACAAACAGCGCAACAATAATGTAATAAAGGCAATTGCGATCGTCACGCTAGGCGTCAGCCGAACGCAGTCCGAAATTAAGGAATCCCACTGCACCAGCCAAACAACCTAACAGCCAGCCACCAGCCACCAGAAACCAGTGACGAGCCACTAATGTCAGTAAGTCAACATGCGTATAAGTTTATTTTATACACTCATACATACATATATAAATATATAAATATATATGTACATATGAGCAGTCTGACATGGCCATATGTATGGAAATAGTCTTGTGGCGTTGGCCGACTGACCGCAGTTGACGCATTTACCGTAAATGAGCTGAAATGCTGGTAAGAACTACCATTGGCATTGCGCTATTTTGCCGCAATGGAAAACCATTAACACTGATAGTGGCGCATAGTCGACGGCGTTGGCAAGTGTGACGGTGAGTGTGGTGTTGCTGATGGAGTTAGCGGTCACTATCGCCAATATCTTCAACAACTCTGCATGAAAGGCACAAGGGAGGGATTCAGTGATGACTTTTATACATATATGACAGCTCAGTAATACGTACATACTTATATATACACAATGTGTTCTACATATGCAGGATATTAGCTGCAAATGATTTGAGTGTAGGTTCTGAATAAAATATGGCTTAATAGCTTAGCACTACAAGTGCTATAAAAGTTATCATTAATCATTAAATATCGCTTTTATGGAATTAATTGTATTGATGCGCATACAGATATTTGTATGTATGTATATAATCGTCTAAGCATATCTGCATGTGAAATCAAGTATGTAGGTGTGCTTTTACGGTATAATTTGCCGCGATATGTTTGAAGTTCACCGTCGGCTAATTTTAACATTTAAATTTCTTTGTCCTATGCTGGCGCCCACAATTTCAATTCAAATGAAAAAGTTTTCCCTACAAAGACTTGAGTTTGATCGTTTAGTTTGTATGACAGCTATATCATATAGTGGTGCGATATTTACGCGTCCAACAAATAAGCAGCTTCTTGGGAAGGAAAGGACGTGTGCAAAGTTTCAGATCTCTATCTCAAAAACTAAGAGACCAGTTTGCGTATATACAGACAGACGGACATGGCTACATCGACATATATAGGGTATCCGACGTTTTCTTCTGGGCTCTACAACTTTAGTAGTAAACTTAATAAACCGTCTTCAGGGTATAATAATAATAGTCTATGTAGGCTTGTGTCGCCGGAAGAAATGAGGGAGTGTGACATAGACTCGATGAGCCCAGTTCCGAAAAAAGGTAGATCAAGATCTCCAAACAAATTTCTCCTATGAAAAATACGTCTCACAAAATGTATTACCCGTTTGGACTCGGCTCAAAACTTGTTGGTTTTTCCATTTGTTTTATAACTTCGGAGTACAGACCACGAATTTAAGCGGCGGCCTATTCAATATGGACATACTTAATATATAAACAGTATAAAGAGTCTCACATTAAAAATACGTTCTATCAAAAATTACATCCCGAATCTAAGTTATAAATAATGTAACCGTTTGCATATCTCCACCCGTTTACGCCAATTTTCGATGACCCGGTGCAGCATTTTGGCTATAGTGCGCTGAATGTTGTCTTCGAGCTCCTTGAGCGTTGGTGTTGATTGGCGTAAACCTTTGAATTTTGATACCTCCAGAGAAAATTATCTAAAGGCGTTAAATCGCATGATCTTGACTGGGCCATTTCTCGAAATTAAAGAGTCGCAAACATTGCACGCAATGTATCGCATGTTTGGACGTGAAACATGAGACAACGCACCATCTTGTTGGAATTAGAGATCCGCGTCGATTTCATTTAATTTATGAAAATGAAGTCGGTCAACATCGTGTTATAACGCTCGCTATTGATGGTAACAGCATTTCCTGTCTTGTTTCGAAGGAAATAAGAACCGATGATGCCGCCATACCACATTCCGCACCAAACGGTGAATTTTTGGAGATTCAATTGAGTTTGCTGAACTACACGAGGATTTGACTCACCGCCACTAGCGACTATTTTGTTTGCTGACGAAGCATTTAAGCCAGAAATGACCTCATCTGAGAAAATGATTTTTCGCATTTCCGGAGTTTCCAGAGAATGTGAATTTGCGTATTAACCTGGTACAATTTAGAAGCGTTGTTTCAAAGTGAAACGTGACATGATAAAATGGTAAACCTTACTTACCTGAATACTGACAAAAATCCGAAAACACATGACCGCCACGAGTCATCCTTATATGCAAAAGCGGTGATATATGCTAGTCACAGCGTAGTCCAAACTTATAGTTAATGGATTTTTTTACTTCCTCAACGAAATTAAATGTTTTTTATCACCATTTCTTGTTTATTTTAGAATTTATATGCCTACCAATAACACACATACATGGATACCGTTTTCTTTCATACTGTGTTACCCAGAGGAAAAATTCCGTGAAAACCACATAACTTCCAACACAACCATTTCAAATTTAATTTTCCAACCTAGCCGCCTTATAGCGTATCCAACTACACGCACACAAAAATCACTACCATTTTCCATCGAACACAAAATCTATTATAATACTGTCCATAAGGAAGCTGAAAACTCGTCCAAATAGAACGACACCACAACAACGCTCCACTGCGAATACACGCCGCATCCCAGCTAACGATTGAACCCACTAAGCATTCATAATCGATTAGAGTGATTTGAAGATCAAAACCTGAACTGAAGTTCCAACGTAAATAGAAATCAAACTGAGTTAGCGGCAACAAACAAAGCCAACAACCATGCATAGCCATATGAAAAAACGAAGTCCAACCAAAGGAAGGCGACGAGTAAGCGAAATGCAACCGAATTGTTGGCGTTAATACGAGCGGTACAATATTGCGAAAGTATGAAATCTGCAAAACAAATAGGAGCTATGGTCAAAGGACGAAACGACAAGTCAGTGGGTGGTTTGGAGTGTTTACAATTCCGATGTTCGCACCAACTGTGCACCGTCCTTCGGCAGTTGAGTTGCGCGGCATGCTTATGTTACTGTATCGATCATCTGTTAATGATCGCAACGACCTTGTCGCGCTGACAATTTAATTTCATCTTAAGTGAATTGCAACAATATGACAAAGCAATAGCAAAAGCAAAAACAACAATGCAGCACATATAATAAATACGATGTACAAGTATGCAAGGACATTGTCAGCACATAAGCACACACCAATATATTAATAGCTTGCAAGGAGGAACTGTGCCGAGTGACTGCTGTAAACCGAAATGTTTTCAAACAGCGACTGGAAACTGTTTGGGCACAACCTGGCGAGTGCATGTCGATAGAGCAATTAAAGTCGCAGCGTGTGGCAGAGAGTCAACTAGTTTTATGTATGGATCTATGAATATATTAAGATGTGTAGGTTGGTGGCACATACATACGTATTTAAGTGTACGTGCGTGCATAGTTTACGACACAAGGATAAACAAGAGAGTACAATGCGCTCGTACAATACGATTGATGAGTC